AACTGTCGACAAGAGCGGCCCTCTCGCCTAGATCAGTAGATCGGCTGGGATCTTCAGAAGTTTATCTTCAGGGTAAGAATTATGCAGCAGATATGGACAGAGGTGATCATGAGGATTATATGTTTAACAGGAAAGGGACCTCAAGAAAAGATGGAAACTTTGCATATGAAACCTTGAGGTCTACCCACAGAGTTCCACAGGATATGTATGAGTGTCATGATAGTCCAAGGGAAAGGGATTTTGCATTCCATGATGGTCATCAAAGACTCCCTTCTAGGAGGAGTTCAGTGAATGAAGAACCATGGGGTTTACCTGAAGATGACTACATCTATCATGAATCGAAGAGACTGAAGATAGGATCTGTTCTTCCAGAGAAAGAGCTTCCGGATTATCTGCTTTCTGGTATTGAAAGAGAAAGGCGTGCAGTTTTTAGGTTAACCTCTGATTTGTCCCCACCAGATGCCTTCGAAAGAAACTTTGACGATGGGAAGCTAAGATACAGAAGAATGTCCGAGCAGCCGCATGAAGATTTTCGAACCGGGTTTCGTCCTTTGCCATCTACTGTCTCCCCTGAAAGGAAAAGGTACACCTCTGAACCTGATCGGCCATCCTTGAAAGACTGGAAATGGGAAGGAACAATAGCTAAGGGAGGTAATCCCATTTGTCGTGCTCGGTGCTTTCCTGTGGGAAAGGTTATGGACATGATGCTGTAAGTTCTAAATTTCTTCCTTATGTGACCTTTGTTCAACCAGTCTACTCCGAGAACTATATCGTCTATCTTCTCTTTCGTATATTTTGAGTTTTTTTTTTGGTGGAACAACTCTTACAATGAGTTGGTTGGCTGTCTCCTGAAATTTTCTTCTTGTGGTTTTAATATTCAGGCCTGAGTTCCTAGATTGCACGGCGAGAACTGGTTTAGACATGCTCGTTAAGCATTATTACCAAGCATCAAATGCTTGGGTGGTTTTCTTTGTTCCTGGAAGTGATGCGGATATGGTGTTCTACAACGAGTTCATGCATTACCTGGAGGAGAAGCAACGAGCAGCTGTTTCTAAATTGGACGACAGAACAACGTTGTTCCTAGTACCTCCCTCTGATTTCTCCGAGAAAGTACTCAAAGTTCCTGGTAAACTCAGCATCTCTGGAGTTGTTCTACGGATAGAATATCCTAGTTCTGGATCTGGTCCGGGTGAGATAAAAGATCGAAACTTGTTAACCTCTCCCGGTGAAACATCATACGCAATGACTGACTTTTTACCGAGCGGTGTCCAAGATGCTCCGCTAGACCCACCATATATGGAGAACAGGCATGAACGGCCAACGCACCAGAGTTTTGGATCAGACTGGCCTCCTCGTGATCTGCAGGCCTCGGTTTCCATTACCAGAAGATCACATCAGCAAGCTTCAAGCAGCGGAAACAATCGTAGTTTTCAAGGGCATCACTTGATGATGCATGGGCAGCCACCGGATTCTGATTTGAGTCAGTATCCCAAAATCACAAATTCAGCCCAGATGCCATTGCCTGCACAACTTTCAGGACTCCAGCCTGAGCAGCTTGCACAATTAGCTTCCTCTCTGTTGGGACAGCACAATCAAGGAGGAAACCCACCGAATCAGCACGAGAGGAATACTGTAGACATTAGCCATGACACACCCGAGCTGTCCACACCGTCTCAGTTTATCCATTTGCAGCAGAGGCCGAGTGGACAACCCCCGGTTCAGAGGGAAGTCCAAACAGTTTATCAGGGAAACCGAAATGAACAAGTTAGCAGCAACACCCGAGAAGGAGAAGGAGAAGAAGAAGAAACCGAGGCTAACCCACAGAAGCGCCTTCAAGCAACGCTTCAACTGGCAGCAGCCCTTCTGCAGCAGATTCAACAGGCTAAAGGCACTTGACTCTGCAAAATGTGTTTTTGGACAAAAATGAACCCTTCTTGCATTAGAGTTCAGTTCAGCTCATCCCACCTTAGAAGAAGATCCATAGAGCTTAAAGACAAAAAGAATCCATAGACTAGTTCTTGATAGATTCTGTAATCTTATCCTGACTCCAACATTTGTAGATGAGACATCGTAGCAATTCTTTCAGTGGTTTGAAGCAGATTTTATTTTATTTTATAATACTAAAGTTCATTATACCTTTGACCCAATAGATTCAGATGAATGTACTCTTGAGCTATGTGAAGCCCAAATGTGTTACTTCGGTTGACAATAAGAAATTGTACCCATATGATAAGCTCACTCGATTCATTACATGCTATATATATATATATATATGGCGGCCCCACTATGTAGGGTTGATAGGCCCATTTGTTTAACTAAATATATTTAAGTTTTTTATAAGTTTTATAAAATTTTAAATAAAATTGTTAAATACTCCCATATTCTTTTTGGGTCCGTACTAATATATATAATATATATATGGTTATATGAGAAGAAGTAGAAGTAGAACTTGTTTGGCATATTTGAATCATATTACAATGTTCTTGTCAATCTTATTGTTGATTCAATTATTATTAAAAAAATTAAAAAAACTTTAAATATTATAAATATATTAAAAAATAAAAATTTAAACAAAACAAGTTGAATATCTATTATAAATACAATTTAAATATTAAAGATTTAAAAAAACTTAACTCGCAAATCAATTTGTGGATTTATTTGAGTTGACATGTCATGAACTCACCTCGTGACGAATTTACTCGTTCAATCCATTTTTTTTCGAATTCAAATTTTCTAAACTTGACTCGAAAAAATATGGGACTCATTTTGACAAACTTTGGTTATTTTTGGATTTAGAATTTTTATTTTTTTAAAAAAAATATATTCACTCGATTTCTGTTTTTGCACGAATTTCAATTCGATTTTCATTTCATTCGTTTGTTATAGATTTAAATTTCTTTTAAGAAATACATTCTCGAAAAAAAAACATTTACATTTTTGTTTGACAGTTATTTTCCTATTTGATCCGTATTTATCAATTTAATTTTAAAAAAAATCGTAACCAATCGTTTTTAGAAAAGATTCGACTCAAATTATTATTCGGTTTGATTCAATTTTGTTGTATATGATGATTCGAAATGGAATGATTTTTTTTTAGGAAAATTAGTTTTTTTTCTAAAATTTTAAATAAGATTGTTAGATGGTCCTACAATAAAATAATTAAGTTTAAACCATAGTAAAATTAAATTAGTCTCCAATTACATGCTTTGCATTGACCATGAAAACAAAAATTATGCGCAATGTGATTAATTAACCATTTCAACGTGTTTGCATTATATACATATATATATATATACATATATATATATATATATATATTATTTCTTTATATGGGTGTAGATATACAATGTACATAGCTGCAGTTATTTTGTTGTTTGGTTCATTAATATTAATTAACACCATAAATACATGCAGCCAATTGACAATTAATGAGAGCTATAAAGGAAACCAGTCCAAATTAGCTTATGTTAGACTTTCCTTGTATCCATAAATATTAGATTTTTACCTTCTTTGGTTCATTATAACCATTCTTTTTACTTCCTGCCCTTTCTTTAAAAAAATAATTTACAAAAATATTGTCTTTCGCCTTTTTTGAGTATATATATATATACATACATACATATATATATGGAATTTTTATGTGATGATCATTATTTTTCCCCAATTTGTCTAAACGAGCACTCTGATAAATACATAACATATGTAAATATGGAATATGATATCGTTGTTTTTTTTCCAATTTGTGTAAGCACCCCGATATAACTCTTTCTGAAAACAAACGATACATACATACACATATATACACATATGTACATATACACACAAACATATATCGGTCGTTATCAATTGCTATAACCCAAGATTAATCAAAATAGAACATCTGATATTGATGGGAGAAAAAGATCAATATATACAATATATATATATATATATATATATATATATATATATATGAAGAGTTGAGGTTTTGAAAAGCTAGTTTTAGTCCCATATAAGGTAGAATATATGATTTCTTTTATTTATTTATTTTTTTTTGGAAAAATCATATGTGATTTCTAACAATGAAAGAATTGTATTTTAATGAAATCGAAAAAAGTAAAAAATATATGGTAATCATATATATGTATCCTACCCCCCTATACATCTCTCGTTATAGAAGCAAACAATGCACCAAAAACTCCAACACAACCAAGTTTTTTTATGCATATATATACACATATACACTCACTGATCTCGCACACATATATATATATATATATATATATATATATATATATATATATATATATATGTGTGTGAAAATTTGCCGATATATGAGGGGTCTAAAACCTTGATGCGCCAAATGGGATTCACCAGTGTTCGACACTAAAAAGAGCGAGATACTATTATGAGAATTTACGAAAATGGGCATGGAGGGTAGGTGGTGCTCATAATTTATCACATGGGCCATTTCGTCATAATTTATCACATTGAGGGTACGTTTTATTTCTCTCTCTCTCTCTCTCTCTCTCTCTCTCTCTCTCTCTCTCTCTCTTCTCTCTCTCTTCTCTCTCTCTAAAAGCCACGGGAGAGAGGACAAAGAGAAGAGACACACCTGCACTTAGTGACAAAACCCTCCACTTCCCACGTTTCATGACATGCACACGTTTTGGGGCCCACCTCGTCGGTGAGTCGCAGCCTTCTCTAACAAAAGACTCACAGTCTTAACCCTAGCTAAGTCAACGCCGTCAACCTTTAACCCTAAAACCACACGGTAAAAAAATCAATCAATTAAATTATTATTATTATATTGGATGAAATAGTTTTAAACCATGATTTTGAAATGGCGATTGAAACCCTTAATTGTTATATTTGTGATATACAAAAAAAAAACCTTTAAGACAATTAAACGGTATATATGCCCATATGTACATGGTTAATTCTGAATAATATATTAATCTGATATTTTAAATTTCTATAAAATGGGTTTTGAAGTTGGTGGAAAAGGCACTCTCGAATGAGAAAGAAATCCCAGGTAGTCATAAATATCTCTACGACATATATTTGTCAAATCAATTTTGGAAATTCACCTCATTTTCAAAACTATGCATCTAACCAGATTTCTTGTTTGGTAAATATATATATATAATGGTTCATTCTTAATCAGTTCCATGTTAATAATTACTTGTAGATTAGAGGATATCTGCTCTAATAAGTAAACAATATCTTCAACTATGACTGATAGATTTCATGGGGGGAAAATCTCATTGCAGATTGGGTAATATATATATAAACTTTACCAAAAAGGGGTAAGCGATATATGGAACACACATGTACGCATATAGACATATACACACATATTATGTCTCAGCTGTCATATACATTTTGAAATGTTGATCCAAACCCAAAACGCAGCAATTCTCGGACTATATATGTCGCCAAACATTCGAATTCGAAACCGAAAATTAACAGATAAGACATGTTAGAGATCATCATAAAACCATTCCAATTCCTTTTACACTGCATTCGGCATAGATTTCGGCATAATCACACGGCGAGAACCGGTTTTGATTCGTAGATGTGACGGACACAAACACACGGAAGAAGTCTTGAAGCCCTCTTCGGTTTCATCTCCTCCTCAGCCATTTTGTCGTGGAGCGAGCAGAAAGGTCTTCGAGAGGTCGCCATTTTTCGTTTTCACGTTCAGGTAAAATACAAAATCAGTCCGTTGAGTTTCGCATCTTGGCTTCATAACTTGTTATTTATTATTGTTGTCATTCTCCGTGTGTGACGTTAAACTAGAGGGGGGGGGAATTTTGGTTACTTTTATTTAAATTTTGTTTTTGTGAGGGTTAAGAGCTTATTAAACAAAACGGTTGTAATTTGAGTTGGTGGGTCCAATGATTTGCTCTTATTACAGGACACAACTAGATAAGACTGCAAACTGAGCTCAATATTTGTCAGACCATGTCAGTTTCGGATACACCAATACAAATTTTGTTACCTTGACTTGGAGTTACGGTGAATTCACTGAGGGCTAAGCTAAACCTTGAGTTTCTTTTTCCTTAACTTGGGTTTGCCAAAAAAAAAAGTTGGGTTTTTTTGTTCACTCTTATCTAAATCTCGTAGAAAGTTGTCTCCTTTTTCTTAATTTATATAGCCCTTCAAGTACATTGTGTACTTCAGAACAAATCAAAAGGTGGGTGTTTGGTTTCAGGGAAGAGAGAGAGAGAGAGAAAATGTCTGGTGGCGATATGTTGGGGAGAGAGAAAATGGGTTTTGCCCAGAGTTCAGAAATGGGTACGGAGAGGAGAGAGAAAGGGAAAGGAGTTGTCACTGTCGACGAAAGCCCTAACTCCGATGATGATCTTTTGGACCAGTACGAGATTGTGGACTTCATGTTTCTTGTTGAGCAAGAAACGGAGGGTGCCCAGGTTCAGAACGGGACCCCTAATGTCAATTCCGAGGCCGGAGTACGGTCGGAGGGATCGTCGGAGAAGGAGGGAGAAGGAGGCGCCGGCAGCTCGTCAAAGATAAGGCCTTGCCTTTTCATCACCGCCGACCAGCGGCCCCGTCTTCGCTGGACTGTCGAGCTCCACACTTCCTTCGTCAATGCCGTCATGAAACTTGGCGGACCAAACAGTGAGTTCTCACAACAAAAATCTTCTTCCTCTTCCTCTTATTTCTACTAATCTCGAAACCTCTTTGATTTGTTTTTGTGCGTCGTTTTCCTCTTGGGTTAATTTCCTCATATCTCTCTCTCTCTCTCTCTCTCTCCTTCTTCTTCTTGGACTTTCTTCCATCATATATGAATTCTGTGTGAATTGTTTCTGTGCATTATTGTTTTCTTCTGCTAATTTTTCTCTGCATGTTGAATCATCGACCTTCTTCGCTCTCGATCCCTCTTCGTCTTGCTCAAGTTTTGGCTCTCACCCATCTTTGTGTGTGTGTGTGTGTGTTTTGTGGGTTTTGATTTCTTCCACACCTACATGCATGCACATATGCAGCACATGAAAACATTTATTTAACTCCGTGTTTTATGCATTTCGATCCATGGAAACCCTGCTTGTTCTTCATATATATAGGGATTTTCAGTCAGATGATATCGAGGGTTTTTTTTTAAAAAAAATTCTTCTTTGAGAATGAACAAAAAATCAAATTGATGGCATATATAGAACTGTATGTAATTAACCTTACAGGAATTACAACACACACACACACACACATATATATATATATATATATGAAAATCTGACATATTGTTCGTCTTTGGTGTTTTTCTTTCCTTCATCCTAGTAATTAGATTCGCACGACGGTCGACAAGAAAGTGAATTTTATGACATACAACCACACAGTTATAGACTTCTTTTGTGTTTGTGTTTGTGTTTTTTCTGTGGTTATAGAGAGAAAACCTAAGTAATTTGCTTATGACTCTGTGGAGATAAAGAGTTTTCTCACAAAGGATTCATGAGGTTTGTGTGAGAATTCTTAAGTGCTTTTGTCCTTTAGACATGGAGATCATTTAAAACACATTTAGAGCCTTTGTTCCTAAGACCTGTCTAGAGTTGGTTGTGTTTGGTTTCTGATGTCACAAAATCTTTGTCATGGTGAATTTGGATGTTCAAAAACTCACCTTGATGATATTGTATCTTACCCTTTTTGTTTTAGCTACAAACTAGGAAATGATCATTGATTTCCCCCCCAAAGGTTTTTACTTTGCGGCGCGAAAATTCGCCCGCTTTCCTCGGTTGATCCCTTCTTGGAATTTCGTTGTCCACGACCGTTGTTTTGTCGTTTTCTCGATGGCTGATATCGATCTGGAGATTAGATTTTGTCGGCGCGATCGATTATGTCTAGATTTTTCTTCAAACACCCTTTTTTGTGATACACCAAGATCAAGATTTTCCGTTACACACACGTTTTTGGGTCGGTTCACACGGTCTCACATTTTAATTTGGGAGTGAGATTTTGAGAGCGTTTTCATCAAAATGATCAAAGATTTCGAAACTATTATACATATGTAACGCTTCAGACGGGTGTTGAGTAGCTAATGAACGATTTGGATTCGTGACGTTTCATTCTAGGGGCGACGCCTAAGACCATCATGGAAATCATGGAAGTTGAAGGCCTTGCTCTTCACCATGTGAAAAGCCACCTTCAGGTTCTTCATTGTTATATATAGAGACTTACCCCCTTCTAATTCTTGAAGCATAAAACAATGTGATTCTCTTTAGTCATTGAGATTATATATATATATATATATATGTATATATGTTTATATCTTGCAGAAATTCAGACTTGGGAAATGTATCGTTAAGGAGTGGCCTGAACAACCGAAAAAACGTAAGTATATATTCCCAGTTTCACCGTTTTTATGCATCAAAACGAGGTTTTAAGCAGTATTTATATGGAAATGGATCCAAAAACGTTTTTGAACTAACAAAAAACATGTGTTTGAAGATGTGATTTTATATATTTCTTGATATTGTATGCCGATGGATGAAGGTTCTCGGGCCATTAGACGAGCCGCGAGAGCAGCATGTGCTTCTACCAGTGCTCCTCGGCCTCAAGTTGACATGTAAGAACAATACATCAACTGTCCTAATATCATATATATATATATACACCAAAAATCTTGATTTTGTTACATTCTCTAACACACATATATGTATATTGATTGAACAGATTGCCGAAAATTGCACCAAGACCACCTCTGACACCAACGGATATTCAAGGATCACTCTACATGAAATTGGAGGTAAATTCACGTTTGTCGAATATTAAACGGTCCATATACAGATACAAATTATGTATATATGTATATATGTAAGAACATGATGATTATAAAAGTGTTTTTTGCAGGCCGACATGCATCTGAAGAGATGTCTCGAAGTTCAAAGAATGCAAATGGAAAGTAGTAATCAGCAGATGGAGGAACAACGACAACACTCCATTGAAACAGCTTCTTCTTCTCAGTTTCATGATTACAACAGCCATTACAATCCGACGACGTTCTCAGCTCCTCCAACTCAGGAGCTCGATCAAGAACCATCATGCTACAACATGATGTCGGATTCATATGGCTTCCCTCAACATGTGATGGATCATCCTTTTCCAATCCCCGAGCCACAACCCATGATGGACCATCATCAACATGATCAGCTTCAACATCACCAACTCTTGCAGCACGACAATGGGTATTCCATTCATGATCCTTGGTACAACGTGTCTGCTCCATTACCAACACCGGCTGGACCGTTTGATCATGGTTTCCCCCCAACCATGGCGAATCCTTGTCCGATCTACGAGTCGCCACATCTCATGTACGGCCAAACTCAGGAGACTGCACCACCTGGTTTGACCCTTCAACAAGACATGGCTGACCTTTATCATCCATCGTATGATCCTTATCCCATGTACGATCGGACAACGGTCACGGCTCCTCAGTTGCAGCCATGGTTCAGTAACGGTTTCTCCGTTCAAGACCCTTCACCGTCACATCTGTACGGTCTACCGCCTCACAACATGGCTGATCCTTGTCCTGGTCCGACAAGGTCTGCCACTGGTCAGGTTCCGCCACAGTTCAACACCAGCGGTTCCATTCAAGACCATGCACCGTTACAGATATCCGGTTTAACCCCTCGAGCCATGCCTGAACCTTCTTACCCAACGTACGGTCCATGTCCCATGACCGGCCTGACCACGCCCACACCCACCACCGGTCAGATAATGCAGCCACAGTTCAACAACAGCTACCCCATGCAGGAGCCTCTGACCGTGACGAACCCTCGTCCAGTGTACGGACAACGGTCGTACCCTCCGTACAACACGCTCGAGATGGTGAAAATTCAGCTCGAGGCGGAGGCAGCAGCGGCAGCGGCACGACGGTCAGAGGGCACGAGCCGAACTCCTCCTCAAGAGATAATGGCCGAGCCGAGTGGGCCCACCTCAGTTGCTGCTGTTCCAACGTTAACGGAGAATATGGCGGATCATGTCGTGGACGAGTACATTGACTGGGACAAAGTCGGGGAAGTGAACGAAGTGGAATTTGATCCGGTCGAGTTCCTCATCTCCTTTGGATTCGGATCGTAACTTTTACTCGAAGGAAATGTACGACCTATATATAAAACACACACCCATATATATAGGTCAGTACGTACTTTCGTATATGTGTTACGGTGACCGTCGTCCTCGTAGAATGTCTGTACATGTATCCATGCTTGAGTCTGAGGTTGTAACTTATGGTTTGGTCCGGTTTATTTCGGATGTAAGAAATTCGAATCCAATTGAACCATACCAAACCAAACTGTATTATGTAGTGTACAATATAAATATAATCTCGTGAGTTTCTAGAATCATATGGACTGTTATTATTCAGAATAGATATAAAACCAGAAACATGCTGAGTTTAGTAGTGCATGGTGGTGTCTTTGTCAATCGTTATATACAAATCAAAAGTCCATTTTACAGAAAAAATAAAAAATAAATTCATGATTTTATTTCTCGGTATAACTCTAATATCAAAATGTGTATAACGAGTTCATCATTTGTAATTATAGTTATCATATCCTTTCAATAGTTAATTAATACTAGTGGTTACTAATTAATTACCATAGAGAGATTTCCCACCCAAAAAAAAGACAAAATGGTTTTATTATTATTATTTTTTTTCAGAAAATGGTTTGCTTTAACATAATCAAAACCGGGGAACATGTATTAACTATTTAGTAATTAATTATTAAAATCGAATTAGTTTGTGATGCTGCGACTATAACCAAGGGGGATCTAGAAAAATCGCATTACATGATGTAATATAATGCTAACTTTCGTTAATTTTATTGAAATTAATTTAGATAATTAAAATTAACTCTAATTAGCGACACTAACAAAAAGGTGTTCCGAATCTCGCTGCATTAAATCCTATTAAATCCGGTCATGATGGCCATAGCAAATAAATATATATATATATTTTTCTTACGGATTCTCAAAGATAAACACAAACGTGTAAAGAAAAAAAGCGAGTAAATCTTTTTTTACAGATGGGTGGAAACAAAATGGCAGCCATGCTGCGAGGATTAGATGCCCCAAGAGAGAGAGCGCCAAGTCTCATTAATTAGCGGTGTTTGGTGAAAAGTGAAAACCCCAACCAAAAAAAAAAAAAAGTTTTCTTTTTCTTATTTATTTATTTATTTATTTAAATTTTTGGAGCGATGTGTGCACTTTTTCATGCATATTGATGATGAAATTTGTTGGTTCACAATTTTTTTTTAAAAAAGAAACGGTTAAAAGAATTAAATATGAATGGATTCATTGACTTTTCCGAGTGGGAAACGAGGGAGAGATTCGTGAAAAAATCACAAACGAACGAAATCCATTCACCCTTCTAGATTGCCTCGTCCTTTAGATTCCTGTAGCTTTTTGCTATGTAACGTACGTAACGTACCAAAGGTCTTTTATTACCGTCAGTTAGCCAGTCGCTATCCAATCCAACCGGACCCGACCCGACCCGGTTCATAATTGGCCCGACCAGTGTAGCTGACCCGGCTTATCCCTCGTCAACTACTCCACTCCACCATACCCAAATCCATATAATACAACCGATATGATGAGACTCGTAACTGACCCTCAACCGTATAACCAACTCGACCCATCACTCGTCATCCGTTCCACCAGACCTATACCTAAGTGAATCGACCCGACCAGACTCGTGTTTGGTCCGACCCATGTAACCAATCAGGTTCATAATTGGTCCGAACTATATAACCAAATTGACCCATGTAATAAACTTAACTCGAACACATATAACCAATTTTACCCATCACTCGTCATTCATTCCACCCAACTCTGTATCATCGAGCCAACTCGAGCTAGTTTATCTGACTCGTAATGGTCCCCACCCATTTAACCATTCTAACTCACAATTGGCACAATCTATATAACCAACCTAACTCATCACTCGTCATCCACTCTATCTGAACCGAGCCCATATATATAACGGAAATGATCTGATCTCATCTGACTCATAATTGGCTTGATCTATATAACCATCACATTTGTAATTCGTTTAACCTATAAAACCAACCTGACCTGTCATTCATCATCGACTCGATAGAACCCGATTCATATAAATGGTTCCGCCCATACTAGTCATCCACCAAACCTATATAACCAATTTGGTCCCACCACTACAAAAAATGGTCATTTTCAATGCACAAATCCGTTGAAAATGATTAAAATTTTGGGATTTTCAACGACTATTTCCAGTTGGATAACCGTTGGAATTTTCAATGGCTTTGCAACGACATATTCTAGTGGAATTTTTAACGGAATTCAACGAATATGTTCATTGAAATAATTTTCAATGGACATTCAATGGATTATCCCATCGAAAATTTCAACGGAGAGCCGCTGAAAACTGTCATTAGAAATTTCTAGCGATGCTTTGCAACAGAAATCCATTGACAATACGTTGGAAACTTCATTGAAAATTTACAACGGATTTTTTCAACAAGAATTCGTTGGAAATATTATTAATGGATTATCAACGATTCGCCGTTGAATTTTTTCAATTGCGATACGTTGAAAAGCCTGTTAGATATTGCAACGGATGTTCGTTGCAAACGTCCGTTGGAAAATATCAATTGGCAGTATCAACGGATATCCGTTGGAAAATAAAAAATTTTAATAGTCGATATACGTTAAAAAAAAGGAAAAAATTAATAAAATAGATTTATTTTATTTTTAAATATTTTTTATATTTTTTATTAAATATATATTATTAATACAATATACCAAATGGATCCAAACCCATATAACCGAATCGATCTGACCAGACTTGTAATTACCCATGTAACCAACTCGGTTCATAATTGGCTCGAACCATATAACTAACCTGACCCAACAATCATTGTCTACACCATCTGGTTCAAATATATAACCGAATTGACCTGTCCCGACACATAATTGGTCCGACCCGACCATCATTCGTCATCCACCTGGTCCAAACCCATATAGCCAAACCGATATGGCCTGGCTCATAATTGGTTTGACCCATATAACCAATATAACCCATCATTGGTCAATCGTTCCACCCATGTAATAAACTTAACTCGAATCTATATAACCAACATTATCCATCACTCATCATTCATTCCACCCAACCTATATCATTGAATCAACCTGAACTTATCCGACTCATAACTGACCACATCCATATAACCAATCCAATTCATAATTGGCCTAACCCATATAACCAATCTAACCCATCATTCGTCATCCATTTCATCTGAATCGAACTCATATATATAATTGAAGTGACTTAATCTCATCCAACTCATAATTAGCTCGACCTATATAACCAATCCAATTGTAATTCGTCTGACTCATAAAACCAAACTGATCTGTCATTCGTCGACTATCCAACAAAATTTGATTCATATAAATGGGCTGACCCATACGAGTCATGGAACAAACCCATATAACCAACCTGACCCGATCCAAATCGAAGCAAAACCTTAGAGTCAAACTTGTTTGAATTCCTTTGAAGGATTGTGGTTCATCAATGTGAAAAGTAAACACATTTGAAAAAGAACATTTGAGTAGTCAATAAGACGAGTAAGAATTCTCTTAAGAACTTACCCGTGTAAAAATTTTCACCCCAATCCAAAGGAAAGACAAAGTCTTTAATCGATTTTTTTTATTAATCTCTGCGATTAATTATCGCATTTTGATCATGGATTTTATTTGAGTTGGTATCAATTTGATAAAGTTCAAAAAAAATTTCATGAGTCAGAGATAAATTGAAAAAAATAATAAAAAATTCGAGAAACTCTCAACACAATTGTTAATAAATTTTGATAACCGAACCCAATTTTAAATTCGAAATTTCTATTAGAATTCCACATAAGTTTGCTCCAAAAATTATAAGATAAACGGACCGTAGATCTTTCAAATGAAGGATCCAGGCGCTGGAAAAACAGAAGAGGTCATTAATTTAGAAGAAAATGACTAAAATTTACGTTAAAATAGTATCGGTGAATAAGCAAACATATTGTAGTTATAAAGGGTCTTTTTGCAAATTTGAAATCTCATCAAGGCTCTTCGCACGTGCGGGAAATGTCCGGGCGCGTGTTGGATACTGTCAAGAAGTCCCAACAAAGGTGGAGTCCGATGAGCCAGTTCCATGACGTGGCAAGAATCTGTCCGTTCCTCAACTGCCGATGGATTAGGTTACAATTCCCAGCGCGTGAATATATAAAAATCGATGATAAAGGTGTTTATTCTGTCCTTTTGAAGAAGTGTTTTTCCCTTCAAAAGTCTCTCGCTTTGTGATTCTCAGTTCACTGCATTTGCAGAGAGAGAGAGAGAGAGGTGAAAATGGAGGTAGGGTTTCTGGGTCTGGGAATAATGGGGAAGGCCATGTCAATGAATCTGTTGAAGCATGGTTTCAAGGTTACTGTGTGGAACAGGACACTCTCTAAGGTAATAATGATACAAACCCCCCGTTTTGATTTCCAAGCGATGATGAGCTTTTTGTTTTCCAGATTAAACCCTTTGGAAATCTCATTGAGTATAGTGTTTTAGCTCTGAATGATTGTGGTTTTTGCTTGTTCAGATCCAAAAAGCGTCGTCCTTTTTTATGAGTTTTTCTAGTGTTCTTCATTCCCCCCCCCCCTGAAATCTCATTGCAGTGTGATGAACTGGTGGAACATGGTGCCGAAGTGTGTAAGACTCCAGCTGCAGTGGTTAAGAAATGCAAGTACACCATTGCAATGTTATCAGATCCTTATGCTGCCCTTGCGGTATGAATCCTGGGTTCATCTTGCTTTTATATTTGATGGGAATCTGCCATTAATAGTGGTAATTTCGCTGGTTCCATTAGGTGGTTTTGGATAAAGATGGTGTTCTTGAACAAATCTCTCAAGGAAAGGGTTATATTGATATGTCAACTGTTGATGCAGAGACTTCCCTGAAGATCAGCGAGGTTACAGACTTACTGTTCTTCATCCTTGTGTTTCTTCTTACCAGTTGCTTGTATGTTTCTTTCCCGCTTTTTTTGGGGACTTGTCCTGGAATCAGACGATGGTAAGATATTGACATTGTACTGTGGAAAACTGCCCTTCTGGTTCCTCCGAAGACCAGAACAGTCCACTGATAAATCTCTCTATGAATATCTTGAAAGATTTAGAGCCTCTTTGCTTACCTTCTTGTGCTTAGTTACTTACCTCTAGTTATCGAATTATTAGGCGATTACCGCTAAGGGTGCTCAGTTCCTTGAAGCTCCTGTCTCTGGTAGCAAAAAGCCAGCTGAAGATGGACAACTCATCATCCTTGCTGCTGGTGACAAGGTAAGACACGATCCTCGTCGTGATGAAATCGATGGTTTCTGGGTTCTTCTTTGTGAAATCGATCTCAAAAGCTGTTCCTTTTACCGTGCTGTATCCCGTTTTTGTCATTCCTTTTGAAAGGCACTCTTCGATGAAGCGATGCCAGCTTTCGATGTCTTGGGAAAGAAGTCCTTTTACCTGGGGCAGGTTGGGAATGGGGCTAAAATGAAGCTAGTAGTGAACATGATAATGGGCAGGTAACATTGTTTTTTCTCCTATGTACAACCATTTCGCCAAATCCTATGAGGAAACAGGCTTCTTGACATCGAGATTTTGTCCGATGCAGTGTGATGAATGCGTTCTCTGAGGGGCTTGTGTTGGCTGACAAGAGTGGGCTTAGCCCTGATACCCTTCTGGATGTTCTGGTGAGAGATCCAATCTACGAGTTTTGAAATCTATTCTCGACGTCTTTAGCGTGTTTGCATTCAAAGTAACGATCTTTATCATCATGCAAATGCAGGACCTTGGAGCAATGGCCAATCCGATGTTCAAGGGCAAAGGGGCATCCATGATCAAGAGCAGCTATCCACCTGCATTTCCTCTGAAACATCAGCAGAAGGACATGAGGCTTGCTCTTGCCCTCGGCGATGAAAACGCTGTCTCCATGCCTGTATCAGCAGCTGCTAATGAGGTCGGTGAACTCCCCGAAATCTGCTATGATATTTGGATTCTTTTCCTGAAATCTGGAACCAAGACACAGACTTTAAACTTGTGTTTCGGTTTAATGTAGGCGTTCAAGAAGGCGAGAAGCATGGGATTGGGCGACCTCGACTTCTCAGCTGTGATCGAGGCTCTGAAATCCTCCCGACAATGAATCTCTTCTGCCTACACATCCATAAAAAGCTCATAGTAGCTCCAGATTTGTTCTGAAATGGCCGAAACAGAGTGAACGAGGTTGTAGGAAGATGAAACTTTGTTCTGTCTTCCGAAAAAAAAAATACATACTGATTGGCATTGAATCACTCAGTTCTTATTATCAAAATATGAAATCTTGGGCAATATATATATATATATATAAACTCTTTAAAAAATATTTAGACTTTTTTTTTCTCATGTAAATATGTTAACTGTTAAAAATTTCCATAGAAATGTATCAAAATTTAAAATATTAACTTATTTTTTTAATCAAAATGATAATACTATCAAACGAAAATTGTAATATTTATATTTTAAAAGTAATAATATTAAACATTGGTTTATCTATATTTTGCAAGTTTTTATTAAAATTATATATATTTCAGCGTCATCATTATTTTGATATAGAAATCTAGTGACATTTTAATTTTTTTTATTTAATAAATAAAATTTTAAATAATTAATATATTAATATTGGAAAAAATACTTATTTATATAGTAATTTTAACAAATTAGTTTATTTTTATTGGATTTTCTATTTATATTCATTTGTTCAACATGTTATATTATTAACTTGTATGGATGGTCCTAAGGCCCATGTCTTCAGGGCTCCACCGGCCCAATTTTCCGTTTTGAATTATTATTTATACCAGAAACCCTAATGTTCCTTGTCTTCGTCTCCGTTTGAGGTCTAGGGTTTTCAGCTGGGAGCTGGAGGAGGAGTTGAAGAATCGAAATGGTAATTTTCCATCTCATTATTCATCTTCTGATTCTTTATGCTTTCCGTGATTCTGTATGTTCGTTCCCGTTTAAGCGTTTCTTCGTTCATTCGTTGTGTCTTCCCTTTCGGAGAACCGGCAGAGTCTGCTTTTATATGGGTTTTAGTTTGTTAAATGTGTCAATTTCTGCAATTCTACTATCGGAATATGGAGTTTAGTGTTGGCTTGCGCATCCTAACGATGTGAATCCTACTAGTTCTGATTTGGTGAAGATTCTTAAAAAAATATTTGTTAAGAATTGACTTCACCGGGTTTCTCTGGTGAACATCGTTCGGAGTTGGTCACTAATGAGATTGAGGGTAGATGGGCTTAGAAATGTAAAAAATGAAGAGGCTGTGTTGTCGCCTTGGGAATGTGGGCTCAACAGTTGGCGTGTAAAAATACCTCATGGCAAGATCGTCCAGGGGAGAGAAGAGCGACAAGAGAGAGGATCAATACCTTAAAGTATCGATCTTACAGCCCTCTCTGAATTTGTATCCTGTTGCTTTTTCTACGGATTGTTCGTTAGTTCATTTGGTATTCAAGTTATTTTATTTACTGCCAAAACTGTTTCTGTATGGAATATGCCTTAGCCTGTTTACGGTTAGACAAGTTTTGAATGGTTTTGATTCATTGTGTTGGTTATAGGCCCCGAAGAAAGGAATGAAAGTGGCTGCCAAGAAGAAGCCGGTATAAGATCATTTCTTTTGGTCTCTTTGGAGTTACTCTAAGATGTTATCTATTCTATGTTCTAGCTTGTTATACTTGTCTTGAATCCTGGGATTTCAGGAGAAAGTTACCAATCCCTTGTTTGAGAAGCGCCCAAAACAGTTTGGTATTGGTGGGGCTCTGCCTCCCAAGAAGGATCTGTCCCGATACATCAAGTGGCCAAAGGCTATCCGCCTCCAAAGGCAGAAGCGTATCCTCAAGCAGAGGTTGAAGGTCCCTCCAGCTGTGAATCAGTTTACCAAGACGCTCGACAAGAACCTTGGTAACTTTTATTTCCCCTGTTTTGTTTTGGTTGTGTGTTGTGGCATTTTTTCTACTATTTCTGCCATAGGCTTTAGGGTGTGCGGTTTCACTTGCTAGTTTATAATGCACTTGTCGTTGCTTGATTAATATTGTATTGTTGTGACGTATGCTTTATTTGTGTTTGCAGCTACTAGCCTCTTCAAGCTTCTTCTGAAATATAGGCCCGAGGACAAGGCTGCAAAGAAGGAGAGGCTTCTCAAGAAGGCCCAATCTGAGACTGAAGGAAAAACCGTCGAGACAAAGAAGCCAATTGTTGCCAAGTATGGTCTTAACCATGTGACATACCTCATCGAGCAGGTTTTTGCTTTTCTTTACCATGATCTTGCTCTTAAATCGTTAGTGTAAGAAACTTGCAGTGTGAAAACTTACAGAGATAACTGTATTTTATTGTTTGGCAGAACAAGGCGCAATTGGTTGTGATTGCTCATGATGTGGACCCAATCGAGTTGGTCGTCTGGTTGCCTGCTTTATGCCGGAAAATGGAAGTCCCTTACTGCATTGTCAAGGGCAAATCCCGTTTGGGAGCGGTAATAATAATAAGTCTTATATATCATTCACTTGACCCCTCTGAAGAAACTCAGCATTATTGTTCTTTGTTTCCAGATTGTTCACAAGAAAACTGCGTCATGCCTGTGTCTGACGACTGTGAAGAACGAGGACAAGATGGAATTCAGCAAAGTCCTCGAGGCGATCAAGGTGATGAGAACTTTTGATAAACTTTTAAACAAGTTTCGGAATTGTAGTTTGAGACTGATTATGTTTGTCTGAATTGGTAAAATTTGGAAGGCGAACTTCAATGACAAGTTCGACGAGAACAGAAAGAAGTGGGGAGGTGGCATCATGGGATCGAAATCGCAGGCCAAGACCAAGGCCAAGGAGAGGGTCCTCGCCAAGGAGGCTGCTCAGAGAATGAGCTAAGCTTTTCACATCTTTGTGGCCGTTTTGCTATTTGGATCGTTTTTTGTTTTGGTGATTTTGGGACGCGATGTTAGTGTCTTTTTGCAAATCATAGAGTGACCCAAGAGACAAAAACTTGAGTGCTGTCCGGTTCCACCTGCAGCTATTATGATTTATATCCCTATCTATTACAAAAAGCTTGTCTCCTATGATGAACTCGAGGAATAAAGGAAAATGATAAAAAGGAATAAATTGGAATCAATCATTAATAATATGATTAGTTATTGTAAATCTCGTAATATTTGATCTAAATTCAAAATGGGTGGAAACGAAAAGTTTATATTAACTAAATTTGGTATTGATGATCGAATATATATTATTTTTCTCTACCTTTTCGAAACATTTAGCGTAGAATTTATATGACACTTGTACATATATCCGTAAATATTTTAGATATATTAGATCATATTAGATCACGGTGTTGCTTTTCAATTTTGTTAAAAAAAAGAGTGATTCGACGGCTGATCGACTGCAAGCCCCTTTTTCTTTTTTTCTTCAAAATAAAAATAGGGGTTCTTGGTTAGGTGTGACAAAAAGATGTGGTGTTTTGCAAACTATGACAAAATAGTTATAATCTTTGCAAACTATACCTTTTTATAAATTTTTGACAAAACTACCCTTATTTTATTGTATAGTTTCAATATTGTCATTTAGCTTCCCAAAAAATGTGCAATATAAAAAGCAGATTTTTTTGGAAACCGTGTAATCCGGGAGAGATGTTTTTCATCCGGGAGAGACTGTTTTTATCCGGAAGAACTGTTTTTTGTCCGGGAGAACTGTTTTCCATCCAGGAGAGTCTGTCTTTTGTCCGGGAGAACTGTTTTTCGTCCGGGAGAGTCTGTTTTTTGTCCAGGAGAACTGTTTTTTGTCCGGGATAACTGTTTTTGTTCGGGAGAGTTTGTTTTTATCCGGGAGAATTTTTTTTTGTCCGGGAGAACTGTTTTTTGTCCGGGAGGATTGTTTTTTGTCCGAAAAAATCTGTTTTTCGTTCGGAAAAGTTTGTTTTTTTGGCCGAAAAAACTGTTTTTTTTCGAGAGAGTTGTTTTTCGTTCGGTAGTGTACATTTTTTGTCCGAATGAAAAATAGTTCTCACATATAAAAAATGGTTTTTTATATAAAAAATATTTTTTCTTCTATGAAAACAATTTTCTCAAAAAAAAGTATTCTCCAAAACGAAAATAGACTTTTTCGGATAAAAAAACATTTTTTTCGGATAAAAAAAAGTATTTTCCGAATGAAAAAATAATTTTTTCGGACGAAAAACAGTTCTTCTTGATAAAAAAAATTATTTTTTTCATATACAAAAACAGTTAAACTAAATAAAAATATATTCTCACAGATAAAAAATAATTATTGCGGATGAAAAAAACAGTTTTCCGAGATAACACAGTTTCTGAATAAAATATATTTTTTTATGCTGTAATTTTTTTGAATAATGGCAACATTGAAATTATACAATAAAGTAAGGATATTTTTGTCAAAAATTTATAAAAAGTTATAGTTCGCAAAGAAAGGAAAAAAAAATATAGATTTCTAATGACGTGACGTTTTTGGATATTGGTGCAAATTTTCCCATAAAAATAGGGTCCTTATACTGCATTTTTCCTTTTCCCTTTTTGCCCTTCTTTCCCCTGCTAGGCCGGTTTATTTGTCTGGTTTAAGTTTATATGATTAAACCGACGTAACCGGACTTTTCTTGGGCTCAAGTAAAAGGCCCATATGTTTGTTTAAATTCTCGTTTTGACCCGAAAACTTCCTGTACACAACATATCATTCCCCCTTCCTTTCTTTTGTCTTCCTTTGTGTTGGGTTTGTTTTCGTTCTATGGAGGGAAACCTCGCGGGTGATGAGAAAATGGCGAAGCCAATCGGACCAACACCGGAAATTCAGAAACGGGTCTCTGCGAAATCGAGATCTCTCTTCGATTACCCAGTCTGGAAGAAGAAGGTTGCTTATCTTTCCCTTCAAATTCGTATTCTCTTCCCTCGAATTCGAGAAATTTATCGTAATAGCTGCACCTATCTCTGTTTATACTTTCGATCTGGGTTTCGAGTGCTTTGATTTTGCATATATATACCCATGCATGTCGTGATGGATTCGTCTGGTGGAGGAAAGTGTCTCGAGCTTGGATTTCGCATGGTGTTGACTGATTTAAAAATTGAAATTTTGTCTAGAGGGTCTTTCTTAGTTTCTGATTCACTGTTTCATCATATGTTAAAAATAATCTCTTTGACTGCGATGGTTTACGCATAAGAGGGTTACTGAATCGAGTTCCATGTTGCTGAATGTAGCTCAGGGAGAATTGTTTCAGAAGAGTTAGAGAGGATCGGACCCGTTTGCTGTGGAAAATGAGGCTTTCGAATTATCAATCTCCCCATGAAAAGGTTTGTTTCATCTTCCTGCATTGAAGGGTACTTCGTTTGATGCATTTGAGTAGCTTTAGTGGTGTTTTGCTCGGAAGATTTGGTGAGAATGGAGTGAATCAGATCCTTTTGGTTAAGCTCTATGAACATTTAGAAACACTCCTTTGGACATCTGAAGAAATTTCTGACAGAAGTTCTATATATTACTCCTAGGTTATGTCTTATCGTAGCATTCATCTTGTAAAATTGTACTCACTAAGGTTTTTAGTTTCTACTTTTTCAGGACTTTATCAAGTCTGCATTCCAGGACATTGTTTACGATGAAATGAAAAAGATCAAGGATTCGTCGAGACACCTGTCAAGAAACCCCCAGTCTTCTCCAGAATCTGATGATATATTATGGGAATATGAAGGTATTTCTGATGCTTATGAAGGTGATAGTGAAGAGATATTGCTAGAAATGCAGCGGATATTTTACGAGGATTTGGTTCCAGAAACCACCACAACAGGTGAAACCGAGATGTGATGGACCTTTCATTGTTGAAATCCATCCAACTCTAAGGATGAATTCTGATTATTTAGTGTCTATTCTTAATGATAACTTCTCTCAGGATCACATATTCAGACAGAGACATGGGAAGACGAAGAAGATGTTTACTTGGCAACCTTAGTTTTCGAGAATATGCATTTAAATGGTGAACAGGTACGTTCTCTTTGCCACGAGTTTACCATCCATCAAAATTCTCACCAATTAACAATCATTATCTCACCCGTATCGTGACAGCCATGCTCAATGAACGTAACTGAACCACTTTTCATAAAACCCATCTTTCTCAAACCCGAGAAATCAGTTAGTTTACCTCTCTGTCTCGTGCAGGAGCATCATAGCCAGATATGGTGTCCGATATGCAAGCAAGGAGAGCTTCAAGAGAACCATCGGCACATCTACTGCAGCTTGTGTCAGATTCAGCTCAACAAAGATGACGAGGTGCAGATTCCGTTTCACCTCGATCTCTATCCACGATACCAAAAATCCACCGCCAGATCTTGTGATGACCGTTGTTTTTCTTAAAATCCCGTTTCTGTGTCAGGTTAACTTGAGCATTCTGCGGGAACGGTTAGCAGAAGTGCATGCCGAACATCTCGCCAAGGGATGCAGATTGAGACCAAAGTTCTGCATCCAGGTTCGGTTTGATTTGAAGGCATTGTACATTATGTGTGACCATTGCAATACCTTTGACATTGTCATATAGGATTTTCATTCAGGAAGTGGTCATGGTAACATTAAGTCCTTGACACTTTGTAAAATCTTATTTAGCCATGTCTTGTTCATGTTTTTCAGAGTGTGCACACAAGGAAAATGTTGTTACACAGCTAAGGTTTTGGTTCTATAAATGATATATAATACCTGATATTATATAGTGTATATATATTTCTGAAGTAGCATATGAAACATACCCAAAAAAGAATCATATATGCATAAGATATAAATGGTTTGGGCAACAACATTACACAAGCTCAGTCTTGTCTTTGGTACAAGAAATCATCATCATCAAAACATTTCATTTCATGCTCTATATGGATAAAAGATACATGAAAAAAAAAACCAAAAATACCCAATTGCTGCGGTGGCTGATGGGTGCGAGAGAATACACACAACTCTACATCTGATTTACCCTCTTGACCCAACTTTGCCGGAATCTCAGACCAAAGCAACAAGCTCCCACATGCTTTTTTATCTTTTGGTCGGAACAGGAACAAGAACAAGAACAACACTATGAATGTAAAGTCCCGATCTTTCAGAAGAGCTCTTCTGAGTTGAACTTGTTCCACGCTTCCTGTTAATATTTTTTTTTCACAGAAGAGGAAGATCAATTGGTATGCAAGGATCATTTAGTTACACAATCACATTGTGTTGAGCAAGTGATGAAGTAATATGTTAAGTTGAATGACTTACCTTAAGCAAGTCGAAAACCTTCTCAGCAACGTATTTCTGCTGAAGATTTGCGCCTTTTTGTTGCACTTTGTCGGGATGGATGCATAGTGTAGCCTTCCTGTAAACTTTCTTGACCGATGCAGCTGTAATTAGATCAGTCAAAGAAACGGGCTGCCAACCACATTCTGGCCAAAGAACCTGTTCATGTTGCACAAAGCAACACCAGAAGAGATTTGGTGAATTTCAGAACCGGACCTTCATGTCAGCCAGCTACATTACGTGATGATGGCTATCAAAGAAAGAAGAGGAAAGAAACTAAAACACAACATACATATTGCAACGTGGAAAGCATAGCACGCAAATTGCCCTCCTTCCCCAACGCCCAACGCTTGATCTCGACATCAAGTGTCTCGGAAATCCTCTGAAATCAGGAAGTTTTCCATTATGCATATGGAGGTTAGACGACGACGACGACAACAACAACAAATGGTTATAATCGAGAGATGGTTCCCTAAAGTGACACAGTTTCTCCGTAAAAATGGTGCACAAGCAAAGGGAAGAAAGTAAAGGGAGGTCAAACCAGACAATGCAGTAAGAGGCAACTTACATGTCTCTCAGCTTGCTCCTTTTGTGCTTGAAGATCACGCTCGTTTTTCTCAGCAAGTGCTTTCGCCTGATTAGACAGAATCCAACGTTAGAATTCAAATGCCAATATACTGTTTCTAGGATGATCAGAAAACATAACACACATGCATTTTGGTATTTTGATACATACAGCTCGCTCCTGTGTTCTCTGGTGGCGTTCCAGCCTGGCTCGCCGTCTCTCTTCAGTCTCTCCTTCAACCTCTTGGAATACACCAGATTGGGAAGCAGCAGCTTTTTTCACACAGATTATTCCGTCAGCGACCAAGTCAAACCACAGGAGCATGAGGTGCAGTAACAATGATATATGGTGGCTGAAACTTAGAAATCAAATGTACCTCCAAAAATTGAACTGAGATCATCAACGATATTTGTTGCCGAAGAGGCCTTTCGCATGTTCGTTGATGCTCCAGAAGGTACTCCAGAAGACGTCCTACTTGCTTCGAAAGACCCTCCCTTGTTCCATGAATCAAAGAAAGGGTCCTGGAATCCAACTAAAGTCACAAGAGGAAGCGGATTCCCTAACAACATTTCATGGTCAAACAGAAACAGATATCAGATCTTACCGAAGTGTTGGTTCTCTGTTTTGGAGCACTACTTGGCCTAGAGCCCATGCTAAAGAAGGATTCGAGATCATTGTCACTCTGTTGTTGCTTAGCTTTGGCTTGAGCAGCTACCCTTTCACGTGCCTCTGCAGCTGCCCTTCCGCGTGCCTCTGCAGCTGCCCTTTCTACAGCAGCTCGTTCTGCTCTAACCCTTACTTCCTTCTCCCGTGCTTCAGCTGCAGCCTTATCAGCCTTGTCTCTAGCCTCAGCAGCTGCCCTTTCCCGTGCTTCAGCCTGAGCTCTTTGAACAGCAGCTCTCTCGGCACGTTCTCGAGCTTCCGTAGCTGCCTTCTCAACAGCAGCCCTTTGAGCTTTAGCACGAGCACCAGCAGCTACTCTTTCACGTGCTTCTCTCGTAGCGCGCTCTACAACCTGTCTAGCTAACTCCCTTTCCCTTTCTGTCCTCTCTCTCTCAAGTCTTCTCTGATCTCTTTCCATCTCCTCCCTCTCCCTCTCACGAGTCCTTTCCGTCTCTCTCTCTTTTTCTATCCTTTCATGATCTAATCTCTCTTGTTTTTCTCTAAGTTCCCTTTCCTGAAATTCATTATTGTCCATCTGAACTCCTTCTTTACTTCTACCTGCCTTCATATTCTCTTTCTCTCTCATTTCCCTAGCATGCCTAAACTCGACCTCTGCTTTATCCATTGCCTCCTTCATGGCAGCAGCAGATGCGGCAGCTGCAGAGTATAGATCTGAATCTTCACTGGAAGGAGGCTCAAAATATCCATTAACATCACTCTGATTTCTGCCGGAAGCAAAATCCTCAAGTTCATCAATTTGAGAAGCAGCAGAGCTCTTCGCAGAAGCTCTGGCTGAGCTAGGGCCATGCGAGCAGCGAGGAGAACTTGATAAAGAAGGCTCATTTACCTTCTTTTTTACAGGACGAGTGGGTCTTGGTGGTGGAGGTCTTGAAGGTGGTGGAGCACTGGTAGGTTGTGTAAAAAGGGGGATCTCAGATACGGTGAGCCACACATCACCAGATGATTCAAAATTTCTATCTGACTTTGATGATCTATACTCCCGTGAATTTGGCTGGTAAATATTAGGATTTTCATATGCAGAAGAAGAGGATTGAGGACCACTTGCGGATGGGGCATGCTGAGGCTCCGAGAAATCATCAGTAGATGCTTTCTTTGGTGAGTAGCCCTCAGAAATTTCCACAGGTGACTGTGCACCGCTCGTGCTTCCTGTTCTTATATGATCTTTGTCCCTGTTATGCTTATCTGGCACTGATGTCCCAAGAGAATCAAGTGGGTCAATATCCACAAATACTCCACCATGAGCAGATGAATGATCAGCTTTTCTGCTGTTTGAGCTACTGAATTTACTAAATTCCTCCAATGGATCACTGAATTCCCCTGTGGAAGAAGCTGGAGGGGTTGAAGCTGACTCCAAGACTACAAATGGATCTTCCACGAGTGGCGAGGATGCCTTGGTTCTCCCTGTAGAGGGTTTCTGAGATTGACTTGTCTCTGAAGTTGATCTGTGCATAAGGAGTACCGAGTCTGTCAACTGAAAAACAGGATGTGAACAAGAAAAATGCGCAAGCTTTTGAATGATTTATGCCGATTCCTCATGTTTCCGCAAGATCTCATATTCCAAAGGACATTTGAAAAGAACTCTAACTGCAAGATCAAGGCGTTAATCAGCTCGTTCCTGTAACCAGTATGAAATCCATGCTACACTTTGTAACACTAAGGTCCAAAGCCAATGCACTGGTAAAACTTGAAAACCATTAAAAAGAGAAGACAATGAAGGCTGCGCATAGAGTACTTCGGTCATTCAGACAACTCGTATAGTTCTCAGACATTCCCAATGACTTTTCTATCGCGCGAGCCAACTCAAGTGAGCTTCAAGGAACAATTTTTGAAGAACAAAGATTTGACATAAAGCGAAATGTTGATCACAGATTAACCAGTACATGGAATATTACCGATCAACAGGAGTGGAGCTACTGCGTCCAAACCCAGGTATCAAATCATCGAAAATTGAGCTACCCTTCTCTTCTCGTACATTCTCCGCCTTCATGGGTTCAGTATCTTTCCTCCCCAAGTTCCCCAGCAGATCATCGAACGGAGAACTATTATGTTTCTTGTGCTTTGGGGATGATGAGATCGAAGAGAAAACATCGTCAAACCGGGCAGATTGAGAAGTCGAGGAGCTTTTAAGCCCAGAAATACCATCGACTGCATCCTCATCATACACCGGCTTGTCGTAAACCGGCATAGACGCCGATTTCGAAGCTTTCTGATCCTTGAACATGGCGTCGTAGTCAAAGGCCGGAGCCGACGGCGCAGGCTGAGGCCGAGACTCGGAGGATCCGTACTTCGGTGGTCCACTGAAGATATCATTGAAGATATCACCATGATCGTCAAGCACCGGCGAAGAATCCGACCTTTTCCCGGCAGGAGACGACGAACCGATCCCGAAGCTAGGAGAAGATGTGAAACTGCTGAAATCTCCGGCCGGAGAGCTCCGGTGACCCGCCATTGGAGCTGATTTTCCCTGCGGATTCAATCCGAAGTCTCTCGCTAAAAACCCCGTGAAATCGTCCATGGATTCTTCTTCTTCCTCTTCGACCTTCGGATCTGCTGCGTCGTCTCACAAACCGGAATCTTCAGTTCCTCCCGCCAGAAATTCAGATCCAGAAGGCAATTTATCATCAGATCTAAGAATCCATTGACGAATTCGAGCAGATTTTTCCGTGAATTAGTTTTGACAAACAAAAAAACTCTCTCTATTCTTCTTCCTTCCTCTTCTTCTTCGTTTCTTGACGCTGGTTTCTTTACGATTTCACTCGTATTCCTGAACTCTCCATCTTTGTCTTTTTCGGTGAATGGGCCCTATATTTTGAGATATTAAAAACTGTGGTGCTATTAGTTTTAAATAGTTACACTAAGCCCCGTATCTTTTGGAATTTTCATATCTACCCCAAGTTTTTCATGTCATCTTCTTTCATGGGGATAGATTAGAGAGATTAAACAAACTTTTGGTACTTTTTCACTCATATGAAACACATGAAAAATATGGTAACCCGAGAAAAAGGCTAAATAAAGGGCCAAGACTTCGGATTCGGATTTGTAGGCCCGAAAAAGTTCGGGTCAACCCAAACCTGAAACCTTAGGGTTGAGTGCGGGTTCGGGTCGGAGTGACACCCCGATATATATGTCTACTAGTGGCTTCATATCATATTCATATTACTAATTCAAAGTTATAAGTACATATCACTAATTTAAAGTTGCAAGTACAATCATCATAACACTTGAAAACTTGCAAAAGTATGTTTCTTGATCATTACATTTACAAGAACTCTGCCTCTTCAGATTTCGGTTCTGCACATAACCGAACAGCGAGTTCGGTATCATCAACTGTAAGAAAAGTCGGTGTAATTTTCCGAGAATGGATCCTGGGAGAACGATGATCTAAGTAGGAAATATCGGTTCTTGTATAGCAACAACAGTGTCTCCAAGAAAATCATCACAAGTATGGATCTTTAACAATCATCACATGCAGGGATCTTTAACAGAGGAAGCATTCTCTACATTATACGAACTCCAAACCCGAAAATGCATTACAGTTTCTAATGGATTTCCGGGAATACCTCGAGAAACGGAGAAAATCCTCTTTTGATTTGCAGAGTTAATGTTAGCTCCTATGCCCTCTTTGGCGGCAGTGACAACTGAAGCAGTTGCAGAAGAAAAATTCAGAAGTTATGATCAGTAAGGAAGCAAAGTTGATCATTTGATGGCGAAAAATCGACGGTCAGATCGCCTCAGAAGGTTGTAAAGCTCGGATCTTTATCGCAAACTTTTTGTAAGACGAAGAATGAGAGTTTGTTGAGTCGAACCCGCATAGCATTGGACCGACTCCATATCCATATCCAATCAGAACTCCGCATTTACGACATAGGAGCTTCGTTTTCAAGCCGTATCGGCCCCAAGGGATGCGGAAACAGTTCATCTCGTCAACCTGTGTGAAGCGGCTCAAATCAGCCGAGGAAAACGAGATGGAACCCTTCTTTCCGGACTTGTTTTTACCCTTAGAAGATGTCGTATAATCCGAGGATGATAGATTCAGCGGATACCCGCAAGACCCGCAACTGCAAGATTGCCAAAAATTCGACCGAAGGAGGATTAAGAACAAGAAATGGCAGTTTTTCTTTGGGTCACCATAATCACAGATGAAGATAGGAAACTTCACCAACAAGCAAACAGAAAATGCTTAGGACACAAATCTGCATCTAATTATTCCGACAACTATATCAAAAAAAAAAAAAAATTATTCCGACAACCTCTGCAGTGTTTACCGAGATTGAAACTAAACCTCTGATTCAATCATTGATGATAACTGGCAATCTATACTGCATTCAATACTAAAACACCGTAAACGATGGGCTTTGAATCTGACGATACCGCGAAAGAACCAAATTTATCGAGTTTGGCCATAAAGTTCTCAAATTTGAATCATCAATGAAAAAAAAGCTTCAGCCTTTCCTATTTTTTCGCTAAATTCTCAGCAAATTCACCGGAAAAAAAGTAGACCCAGAATGAGATTATCTCGGGGAACGATTTCAGAGCAAAACCCATCAAAATGAGAGCCAAATCGAACAAACCCATCGACAAAAACCCCAAGAATCGCAAACCCATTTACTCGAAAACCAGAAAAAACGAAAAAAGAAGAGACTTGGAAAGTTTCAGTTACCTGTAAGATACGGAAGCTTCGGACATGATCGTGAGCAATCAGAGAAACCCCTCTGATTCAGACATTTACAGGGTTTCCTCTTTGAAATTAGAAACCGGGAAGCTGCACAGTTCTGTCTCTGCGACTGTTCTTCGTTCATAAGATTTTGTTTTACAAATATATATAAAAAAAAAATTGGCCAACACCCCAACACTAACCTCTGTATTTCGTGGAATTTTTTTTTTTTTTGTCTTTTTGGAGTTTGGAGGAACTGTGTTGTTCTTATTTCCCTTGGTTTTTTCTTTAATTTTTCTGCTGGTGGCTTTCGGACTGAGTTTTGGAATTATTCTGTTTTTTCTCCTTTGGGAAATGTGCCAATACCACGTGGCACAAGCCCACTTAATTACAGATTCTTAAGCAAATTTTATTTGAGGGTTCAAAGCAAATTAACCATAAGGTCAAAGAAGATTGAGTATTTGGATTTTCTTTCCACAATAACAAAAAAAATATTATGAAAAATAAACTTCATAGATATTTATTTTGGTCAAAAGTGCATTAAATTTTCAATGCAAATCCGGTTTCCTAAATTATTTTTTTGGACTATATTATATAATTATTTTACCCATATAAAAAAAATGGCTCACGGGCCTGGCCCACGATGGACCACAGCCTAGATATGTATACTTGCACATATCAAATTTTAACAAATAATTATAAGTAGAATAGATACAAATATTATATTTACATACGGTTAGTGTTATATTTGAACTAGTGATACAATCTTTTTATTTGATTTTTTACTAAAAATTATAATCTATTTAGCCATGGATTTTATGAACCAAATTAAAATTGAATATTTTAAATTATTGTATACAATAAATATATTGGGTTAACTTAGAAAACATCTAACTCTATTGAAATTTAAATTAAATTAAATTAATGGGTCGAGACGCCATTTGGAAATGGCCCATAATATAAGCCCAAAAAGCCCATGTTCTCAAACTGTTGGTTCTGTTTCAAACCATATAAAATCCTGACCGTTGATCTGATAGCCCTAGGGTTTTGCTTAGTAGTCTCCCTCCCTCCTCCCACTCATCCATCGTCTTCAGCCGCTTAGAATCACCAATGGTAAATCCCTTCCTTCGTATTCGCCAATGGCTTTTCCTTGATTTTCCTCTCATTTTCGTCGCGAAAAAGCTGCATTTGATGTTCATTTCATGTAAATTTCTTCTGCAGCACCTTTCTTTTTCCTCAATCTCTTGTTCGTTGAATGCCATCGTTGAAGCTTTGTTCCGATGGATTTTTTGGTTGTTTATTTATGTTTAATCAAGAGATTGTCGAGTTTTTGTTTGTTTGTGTTCATGGATCTTCCTACATTAACCTGGTTTTCTGCCATTAAAATGTGCTTGAGATTCGTAAAGGGTTGCGGTTTTATGCTGAATTACCCCATTTTTGTTGTTTTCGTGAATATATCTCGAGTTACTACATAGAACTCTGTAGAATGTGTAAGATTTTCCATCTGGGTTTTGCTTAAATGTCGAAAGACCAGAAATTTCTTTTTGGGTTTTCATGTTCAGATGCAGGAATTACCTCTAAATCTTTCTGAGTTTCATTACAAGCTAATAAAGTTTGACGATTTCTTCTGTGATTTCTTCTGTTTTAGGTGTTCGTTAAGGCCCAGAAGTCGAAGGCTTACTTCAAGAGGTACCAAGTGAAGTACAAGAGAAGGCGAGGTATTGTTCCTCTGTTCCTTTCCCACCATTGCTGTATTTGCTCGAGTTTTCGGTCTCTTATCGAATTTTGTAACGCCTTTTATGATCTGTAGATGGTAAGACTGATTACCGGGCGAGGATCCGTCTGATCAACCAAGATAAGAACAAGTACAACACTCCGAAGTATCGGTTTGTTGTTAGATTCGTATCCTGTCCCACGGCATATTACTGCCCTCTTGAGTTATTCATTAGTTAAGCTTATAATGGTGCAATTTAGCATAATTTAATTGATGCTCTGATCATCTGGCTGAAGGGATGTCATATATGCTTTGATAGTTTTCAGTTTCTAATGCTTACGAGTAATTACATATTAAGTGGTTTATAGGAGTATGGCTAATTGGTTTTTTAGGGAGACTAGCTATAATTTGGACCAAGGCTTTTGTGTAATATTTTCACAGTCACCGTTGTATATAATTACTGAAAGTTGAATTTCATATTGATTTTCTCCTTGACTCATCTTAAAGACCAACAAAGACATTGTTGCACAAATTGTATCTGCAACCATAGCTGGTGATGTTGTTCTTGCTGCTGCTTATGCACATGAGCTGCCTCGTTATGGTCTCGAAGTTGGTCTTACCAATTACGCTGCAGGTATTTGAATTAAACCTCTGTTTCGTTGTTTCTTTTTGAAATTTTAGATGTTACATTACATGTTAGGTGCTGGGTTTTCTTAAAAGAAAGTGTTTTGGGTTAACCAGCTTACTGCACTGGCCTTCTCTTGGCTCGACGTGTGCTCAAGATGTTGGAAATGGACTCTGAGTATGAGGGCAATGTCGAGGTATTCGCTATATTCTTGATGGAGGAAACTCGTGGTTTCATCTTTGGCTTTTAAAAGATTCAAGCTTTAAACTTACGCTTACTTTCATCAGGCAACTGGTGAGGATTTCTCGGTGGAACCAACCGATACCAGGAGACCATTCCGTGCTCTTCTTGATGTCGGACTTATAAGAACCACAACGGGTAACCGTGTCTTTGGAGCACTCAAGGTATGTAATGGTCGATGTATCTTTTTGTTCGTCTTTGTGTTCAATACGAGTGAACAAACAATATGATATATATCTTCTTGCTGTGCTTCTCGATTACAGGGTGCATTGGATGGAGGACTTGACATTCCACACAGTGAAAAACGATTTGCGGGTTTCAACAAAGAAAACAAACAACTTGATCCCGAAACCCACCGGAACTACATCTTCGGCGGCCATGTTGCAAACTACATGAAGGTCGTTTTTTGGAAAAATTTTTTTTTTTTTTTTTTTTTTGCAAGAAACGAAATTCCGGGTTTCTTGAAAAGATCGTGAAAGCTCTCTCATGTGGGGTATTATTATGCATTCAGGTGTTGACGGAAGATGAACCGGAGAAGTACCAAACTCACTTCAGCGGGTACGTGAAGAAAGGGATCGAAGCCGATAACTTGGAGGCGATGTACAAAAAGGTACATGCGGCTATACGTGCAGACCCGACACTGAAGAAATCTGAGAAGTCTGCTCCTACAGAACACAAGAGGTAAAAACAGAGAATACCCATCATATATATATATATATATGTGTGTGTATACAGTTTGTGCGTGTTGGTGATTGTGGGATTTGGATTGGGGTTGAAACAGGTACAATTTGAAGAAACTGACGTACGAGGAGAGGAAAGAGAGGTTGATCGAGAGATTGAAGGCATTGAACTCTGGAGCTGGAGCTGGTCATGATGATGATGATGATGATGATGATGAGTAAATCCATCAATGGTCACATCTTGATTTCAGGTTGTAGCTTTTCGTTTCTTCGTCTGAAGAACTAATGAGTTTTTCCATTTCAGACAGAAAATGACCTTTTTTTTTTGTGCTTCACATTTTTGCGTACGAGGATTATATGTTGTTCGGATGCTCTCTCTTTTTCTTTATTATCTTAATATCATTATGATTCTTCTTCTTCTTATTATTATTAAAAAATCATTTAAATATTTGAATTTTTACAAAATTTTCAAATAAATATTTAAACTATAAAAATCTAATGTAAATATTTGAATTTTTTAAAACTTTTACAAAAATATTCAAAATTGTGAAAATCTTCCAAATAAAATAATATTCGCTAACGTGTGTTCAAATGTTAAGTCATTATTTTTTTTGACGGATTATCTTATATATTAAACGTCGTTAATAGATTTTGATTTCATCTGGAGATTTTCAAAAGTTTATATATTTATGTAGAAATTTTGAAAATTTCATCTATTTATATAGAAGTTTTATAGTTCAGATATTTATATGAAAATTTTGTAAAAATCCTAATATTTATATGCGATTTTTTCTTATTATTATTACTTTTGTTAAATTGGCCGAATATAAAATTATTCTCGATAAAATATGAACGAGTATGATTAAATGTAACTAGATAATGATAAAATATAGTTTTTTTGGCAAAAAGAGAAGAAAATCTTAAATATTCTAGTTTTAATTTTTTTTTAATGTTTGTCTTGAGACCAAGAAACAATTAAGGATAAAAATATTTTGATATTAAAACTGAATCTCCATTGCATAATTTTATATTAAAATGTGTGCATTTTTTATATGTTTCAATACCTTGATTTTACATCTCTAATTTTCAATGGAAATGACTCAGTCGATATTAGGGTGGGCGTTTCGCTTAACCATACCGGAAAAAAAATTTGATATTTTTTCCGATCCAAACCGTCCAAATTTTCGAATATTATTAATTTTGAAAAAAAACAAGTTTTTTGAAACCGAACTAAAATTTAAAAAAATCTTAAAAACCAAATATTTTTAAGATCAAATTTTTTAAAATAAAAATCGAAACCGAACTAAACCGAAATCAAATCGATTGATACCTATTTTTGTAAAACAAAAAGAACCGAACCGAACTCTTTCTGACCCGAATCGAACAACAAATCGTCCACCTCTAGTTGATATATCACACAAATAAAAAAATACTGAATGTTTATTTAAAATTTTGATATTTGGCTTGAGACGAATAAAGTATTTAAAGGGATACATATATTTTTAATATACGATCTTTTTTCCATTACATATTTTGATATTCAAATGTTGTTTTTCACGTTTTAACACCTCAATTTTGCATATCTATTTTTCAATTAAATTAATTGACGTAATATACCAAAACTAATGAACTATGAACATTACATGATTTATTGATAAAAAAATGGTAAAAGAATTTGGATATTGTTTTTAATGTATACGTATATTGCTATAAGCCTATAAGTTTACACTATCATTTCACCTTGGATATTTTATTTGGAGTATTGGACGATGAAAAGTATCAAATATTATAATATTTTATAGCAAATTGAGCACTATATATATCGTATATAATAGAGCCTAAATTAGATATTAAAATGTATTTTCCAAAATTAATAAAATATTGTATATTTACTTTCCGGATCATTTGGGCTAGTGGCCCATATATGTAGTTTTATAATAATGGGCTCTATGACATTAAAATACCAATTGGGCTTTCGAATTTGTTTGTTCGTTTATATTTTTAGTAAATGAAATTTTTTGCACAATTTTTTTTTGACCAAATTACCATAAATTCATAATACCATTCCATAAAAAGCTATCAAAGAACCGTAAAATAATTTCATTTTGAATAGTTTTCACGAAATAAATCACAACCACATATGATTAAATTAATTTCGAAATTTTAGATAGATATAGAATTCAAATAAAAGTCAGAGACATTAGGAGTGAATATAATTCTTTAAAATATAGGAAACCAATCTTCAAATGCACATCTTTGAATTTGCTACAAGCAATGTGATGTAATTACAAAGTTTATTATAAAATTAAATTAGAAATAGTGATTAATGAATTTTGAATTTAAAAAAAACACACAATGGATACTTTAATGAATGTGTCAGAAGTTCCACGGAATCTCGAACTTCTATGCTTTGCTCAATTTCGGGCGAATAATGCCGGTGCATTAAACGAAACAAAAATTAAATAAAAATACAGCACAATTATTATGTAATAATTATATATATATATATATGTGTTAATTTTTATTTATTTTGTTTAAAATAATCGAATGCTGACAAAAATAGGAAGTTACCCGTAAGTTGTAAGATCGAGCATGGTAGTGGCCACATGCAAGAATTGTTTTTAAAATAATGATTGTGCCACCAACGAATATATCTCGTCAACCTTGTGTTAATTAAATATTAAGTAAAAAATGATTACAAAAACGGTCCATAATTTGGCATGGGATCATGATGTTTCTATTCTTCTTTTTGTCGCTATTTTCATCAATGTGTTGAAATAATTGTAACAATATCTAAATTTATTTCGTTAAGAGGGCTTGGATAGTGGGATAAAAAAAAGGCATAAGTAAAGGGTGTGTGTATATATATATGCTCTCTCTCTATATCTATATAACTATATATATATATATATATATTTGGTAGATCCACCATTTATCTCACCTTTCTTGCCGGTGGTAGATTTTCTATTTTATTTCTTAGTGCAAAATTGTTCAAGACTTCCACTTATTTAGCTATTGAAGAAAAAAAAAATTAAAAACACGAAAAAGAATATAAAAACAATATTTTATTGCAAAAATAACAACGTTTAATTTCAATATGTACCTCTAACTTGTATGTCACTGTTATTTGCGTTCATAAATTTATGTTAAGGTAAAAAAGATCCAAATATTGGAATATAGACTTTCAAAAAAAAATATTTTCATAAGATTTGTGTATCTTACAATAAAATAGATTATTGAAATCCTTGAATCTAATAAAAAAGTAAGAAGTTTTTTATACGGATATGTTCAAAACTAAAAAAAAATATTCTGCATTATTATTCAATACAAAATAAGTTTATATCGAATTTTTACAATGGTTTTATTTAAATTTAAGTAAAAAAAATTGTGTTTAGTAGAAGAATTTAAAATCAGTATATTTTTTTAATTAAGGGATAAATTTTATAGATTTTCCCAATGTTATTAGAAATGATATATATATATATATATATATATATGTATCTACGTATTTTCATCCCAAAAAAATGATAGCGACGAATCTTAGACTCGCACTGGTCCCTATCTATACTTAAATGTGTCTTGTGTATAAATTTCTCCATCACTATTTTTGAAAAAAAAAATATTATTGATAAATTAAAATTTTGCAACAAAACAATGAAAATAAAAATATTCGTAAGAAAAAAAAAAGATTGGGAGGTGTACTTTCTTCGGTCAGATTTATTTAATTGAAATGGCAAAGTAAATATCGAATTTTGTGAGTGTCGGTGGCTAAATGTTCATATAGCACGTGACCAATTATATTCTACTCCACTCCTCAAATTTTATAATTACATTCCTTTATGACATCATTTTTACCGATATTTACACGATTTGTCAAATGATATTTAAACTTATGTATCTTAAATAAATAAAATTAACAGAATAATATCTAGATATATTTTATTTGAGAGTTATTTTATTATATTTTTAAATCTAAATAAAAATACAACAAATAGTTTTTAAAAATCAATATTTAAAAAATTCAAAACAAAACTAAAAAATAAATATAAAAATGGCATTGATAAAATTTTAAAACAAAAAATCGTATCCAAAAATAGAAAGAAATTCAAAATATTTACCTGTAGTTAGGATTCAGATTTATTCATTTTTTTGTGGTAGTTTTGTGTTGGTGTATTGATTTTTTTTTTATGAAAACAATAATGTGTTATTAAATGCAAATTATATATAGTTTTCCACATAAAAACATGGACCAACCGTTTATATTGACTTTCTTCACATTGAAAACAAATTACTGTCGGTAAATTAAAATGGTTTCCCATTGCACTCACCAACCTCTAACCATAACCTTTACTTATTTATACTTAAAAATTATTAAAGTGAAAAAACATTTTAATTCGCTAATAATGACTGTTTAAATAATCAATGCGAGCCCAAAAAACAGATAATAATGACTATTTAAATCAAATCGATTAATCTACAAATCTAGAATAAAAATATTTTTATTTTGTCGGTTATTTATATGAACAAAAGAACATGTATTAATGGGTATTTTTCCCAAGGAAGAAAAAACAATGTGCGTGCGCACTACGAGAGAACTCGAACTGAGTAATACGCAACTGTACACGTAGCAATATATTATTGGTCATGGTCATATGGTGGGCCCTACTACGTAAGAGAATAATAACCCACTTTCTCTCTCTACTACTTTACGCGCTCACACTCTCTCACTATCACTCGCTTAGATTAAAAAAAAATCTGAATCGAAAAAAAAAAGTCGGAGAGAGTGAAGATCGACAATCACCAGCAGAATCTTAGCTGGATCCACCATCCTTCAAAAGTTTTCTCGCCTTTTCTCGGCGGATTTTCCTGGGAAAATAGGAATCAGATCGTTTTTAGACGAAAAAGGAAACCTTAATCAGATATCTGATTGGAGTGTGGGACGTGAATCAAAGGGAAGAAGAAGAAGACGAACTCACACAATGCTCAGTTCCTTCTTCTTCTTCTTCTTCTTCTTGAACTTCTTCTCTTTCTCTCCTTCGGTGCTCGCCGGCGGCTTCCGCCGCGTCCTCCCCCAGCCCTTCTTCCCCGTCGACTCTCCTCCGCCGTCTCCGTCTCCGTCTCCTCCTCCGCCGGTTCCGAAGCTCCCGTTTTCTTCCACCACATCTCCGTCGAACCCTAATGACTCACCGTTCTTCCCGTCGTACCCTTCACCTCCTCCACCACCGTCTCCGGCGTCTTTTGCTTCCTTCCCAGCCAATATCTCCTCTCTCATCCTCCCTCACCCGTCTAAATCTCCGCCTAGTTCTCGGAAGCTCCTGATCGCTGCCATCTCCGCCGTGATTTCCGCCGCCGCCGTTGCCGTGGTTCTCGCGCTACTCTACTGGAGAAGGAGAGATCAGAATCGTAGCTACGCCGACGATAGCAAGACACACACCTCCGACAGTAGCCGCCGAGTGTACCCTCCGCCGCCGCCGCCTGCGCAGCGACGCAATGCGGAGGCTAGAAGTAGTAAGCTTCGAGCAGCGTCGACGAGCACTAGCTCCGAGTTCCTTTACCTGGGAACTTTGGCGAATTCTCGAGCAGTGGAAGATCAATCAACAGGCAGTAATCGGAGCAATGCTGGGTCGGTCTCGAGGAAGCTGGAATCCCCAGATCTTCAGCCCCTTCCTCCGCTCGTGAAACGGAGTTTCCGGCTGAATCCGGAGGTTGGTTCAATCGGAGAAGAGGAAGAGGAAGAGTTCTATTCTCCAAGAGGATCAGCGAGCGGTCGCGAGACTTTGAGCCGGATCGGATCCGAGTCCCGGAGCGCGTTCGCGGCGGTTCCTAAACAAAACCCTAGGTCGAGCTCGTCGTCAAGCTCAGGTTCACCGGCGAGATCGACTTTTATCAGCATCTCTCCACCGATGAGTCCGCGCCACAGGCGATCGGAATCGAAGCCTCCAGAAGCCGCCGTGCCTGAGCCGGTTCAGAATTCTCCGGGGAGCTTTGATTCGTCTCCGGCGAGGATCTTGCAGGTTCCGGATTTTCGATTTGTGAGGTCGCCGTCTCTGTCTCTGGCTTCCTTGTCGCCGGAGCTTGGTCCAGTGAAGAAATCCGATGAAGCTTTGGCTCAAATCGCGAGATCTCCGACAGTTTCTTCGGCAACAACTTCACCAGACAGATCACTGGACAAGAACAACGATGAATCTCCCAGAGCTTTCCACGACTCCGACCGAAGTTCTCGATCTCCGACGATGTCCTCTGCCTCTACATCGCCGGAGAGACAGCCAAATGAAACACCGGACGCTTTCGTGCGATCTCCCTCGCATTCCTCTGCTTCTACGTCACCGAGTAGAAACTTCCAGAAATCTCCGGAGCCATCGCCGGGTTTTGTGAACAATCTCCGACAAGGTTTGAAATCTCAGTTACTTTCCCCCGCTGCTACTTCGCCGGAACTAGGTTTCATGAAAAGTTCAGAAGCATTGCGTTCTCCTTTACTGTCTTCTCCTTCCTCTGTATGTTCTTCACCGGAAAGAGTTGCTCCAAAATCACCAGCCGGATTTCCCAACCGGAATCTGCAGTCTCCGTCGTCATCATCACTGCCGTCTTCTCCGGAGAGAGATTTTAGCCATAGTGTAGATGCATCTCCGAGGATCTCGAACATTTCAACTCAAACCCTACAGTCTCTACCGCCAAAACCGCCGGCAATTGAAGCTCCACGAGCGCCGCCGCCGCCACCACCTCCGCCATTGCCATCATGGGCACGACGGAATCCGCCCACTCTCCCGGAGCAGCCGATCTCCCGTCCGCCGCTCCTTACACCTCCTTCACGGCCTTTTGTGATCCAAAACCAAAACGTATCAATCGCTTCTTCAAGTGTTCTTCCTCCAGAGAGTTCCAGTGCAAGTGAACCCATGGAGGAAACTTCTAAACCGAAGCTAAAGGCTTTACATTGGGATAAAGTGAGAGCAAGTTCTGATCGTGAGATGGTCTGGGATCATCTTCGATCAAGTTCTTTCAAGTGAGCTCTTAGAACTTGATTATGTTTGTCTGTCTTACTGTTTTCCTTCATTTTCAAGACATGAGGTTGTCGATTGCAGATTGAACGAGGAGATGATCGAGACACTGTTTGTGGCAAAGACACCAGATCCGAAACCAAATCAGATAACCCCAAGAACTGTTCTTCCTTCCCCGAACCAAGAGAACCGAGTTCTGGACCCCAAGAAGGCTCAGAACATTGCAATCCTTCTCCGGGCACTTAACGTCACAATAGAAGAAGTTTGTGAAGCTCTTGTTGAAGGTAAATTATTGCTGTTACATTCATGGGTTTCGTCTTTCTTGTTTGATCCTCCTGAATGTGAATATCTGCAAATTCTCCACTTGGGTGGAGTAGTTTGAGGTTTGATCGATGATGAATTTCCTAAAGCTTCCACCTTTACGAGGCCATAGTCATTTTGGCTAATATTGGTAGAATTTTGATGATGTAATCTCATGGTTGGATCATCTGCAGGCTCTGCTGACACGATTGGAACTGAGCTTCTCGAGAGTTTGCTGAGGATGGCACCGACAAAAGAGGAAGAACGCAAGTTAAAGGAGTATAAGGACGATTCACCTATCAAGCTTGGCCATGCCGAGAAATTTCTCAAGGCAGTACTAGATGTGCCTTTTGCCTTCAAAAGGGTCGAGGCAATGCTTTACATAGCTAACTTTGATTCCGAGGTTGAATACCTGAAAAGATCCTTCGAGACTCTTGAGGTATATATATACATCAGAGTTTCTTCTATCTGCTCTGTATTTGTATCAGGTCATGGTGTCTTATTGCATGTTTCGATTTTTTTTCATAGGCTGCTTGTGAGGAACTCAGAAACAGCAGGATGTTCTTCAAGCTTCTAGAAGCAGTCCTCATGACTGGAAACAGAATGAACGTTGGGACAAACCGGGGTGACGCCCATGCATTCAAGCTCGACACTCTCCTCAAGCTGGTAGATGTCAAAGGCGCAGACGGGAAAACAACACTTTTGCATTTCGTCGTACAGGAGATAATCCGATCAGAAGGAACACGTCGATCAGGCACTAGCCAAACCGATGACAGTAAATGCAGGAAGCTCGGCCTACAAGTAGTCTCTGGTCTCAGTTCAGAGCTCGGTAATGTCAAGAAAGCCGCTGCAATGGACTCGGAAGTACTGAGCGGGGATGTCTCCAAGCTCTCTCAAGGCATAGCCAAGATCAACGAGGCAATCCACATGATGGGCTCAGACGAAACCAGTCGGAGATTTTCAGAATCGATGAACACATTCCTGAAAAGGGCAGAGGAGGAGATCATAAGGGTACAAGCTCAAGAAAGTGTGGCGCTTTCTTTGGTGAAAGAGATCACAGAGTACTTCCATGGGAACTCGGCGAAAGAAGAGGCACACCCATTCAGAATATTCATGGTGGTAAGAGATTTCTTGGGAATTCTGGACAGAGTATGCAAAGAAGTGGGAATGATAAATGAGCGGACCATGGTTAGTTCTGCTCATAAGTTCCCTGTTCCAGTTAATCCGATGTTGCCACAGCCGCTTCCTGGTCTCTGTGGACGAAGACCTCCTACTTCTTCTTCTTCTTCTTCTTCAGACAACGAGCAGAACTCATCTCCTTAGATTGATTTTTCCTTCGGGCAGTTGGATCAGATTGTTTGTTGTATGTCCTGTCTGTGCAAAAGTGGTTTGTACAAAGTTTCCAGTGATGGGTTTTTTTTGTCAAAGTAGATCGATATAAATAGAGAAAGAGAGACTTGAGATAAGGGTCGTTGAAAGTTTTCGACATTTGTTGGATTTGTGTAAAAATAATATAGAAAGTACATTGAAATTTGTTTTATTTTATCTCAAAATGAAATTATAAATGTGTGTGTATATATATATTTCTTTTATCCTGTTTTGCTCCTCCACTCGTCGTCGCTTGCTTTCATCGTCGTCGTCATGACGTCTCTTCCGCTAAACCTCTGCAAATTTCTTCCCAAACCCAAATCTCAAGTTCCAGGTTTCGATCAAATTCACTTCTCTTCCCTCGAAATAAAGTCGAAATCTCGAAACTTTTCAACTTCGTTGCAGCTTTTAGCCAAAACCCATCTCTCTGTCGTTGTTTCTGAACTTGTCATCGCTTCCCCATGCCTCGCTTCCGAATCGGCTATGTCTGTGTCCGAGGAAGTTTCCGGGAAGATCGATTTGGAGTCGATTTTGGTTTCCATTGATGATTTCATCAACAGGTACCCGTTTTTCGTTGCTGGATGTACTTTCGTCTGGCTTGTGGTGGTACCTGTGGCAAAGTACTACTTGAGCAAGTTCAAGCCCATCTCCGCCATGAACGCATTTCGAAAGCTCAAGAAGCTACCCAGTTCACAGCTTCTGGATATCAGAGACGAGAAGGCACTGGCGTCGTTATCGTCTCCGAATCTGAAGCTTCTGGGTAAGAGCACAGTTCAGGTTCCGTACAGTGAAGAAGACGAGTTAGGGTTCTTGGAGAAGGTGAAGAGAAGCTTCTCCGATCCGGAAAACACTGTCGTCTGTGTTCTTGACAAGTAAGGATAACAAAAAGCTTCAACCTTTAACTCAGCACTGATCAAATCTGTTGCTTTGATTAGATCCCCATTAGAATCTGAGCTTGAATAAGGAGATGGGTGTTCATGGAAATCTTTTTATTGGTTTATTTTGGCGTTGGTTTTTGATGTGGAAGGCAGTTTTGATGGTAACTCCTCGAAAGTGGCTGAATTGCTCGTGGAGAATGGTTTCCAGGAGGCATATTACATCAAAGGTGGAGTTAGAGGGAAAGATGGCTGGTTGGTATGATTACACTTCCCTCAGCTGCTTCTGGTTCTGTGAATTAACACTATTTATACACAGAAATATGATAAGAGTTAGCGTTTAATGGATTACGTTTCGATTTTTCGGTATTTTGAGCCTTTCAGAGTGCTGTGCATTTGCAATGCTTAGTTGCCTTTTTGTTCCATTGCTTCCTGTTCCAGGCAATTCAAGAAGAGCTTCTGCCTCCTCTTGTGCATATGTACCGAAGGAAGAAGGTGAAGCCTTCAACCAACAGTCTCAGCCAACGATCTTCAACCGAAAATGGTTCTTCGGGTTCGGGTTCTGAAAATGCGATGGCCACGCAAATGGCGGGTGATGAACAGACGACTGGTGACGGAACTGAATCAGCGAGGAGTGCCAAAACTGATTCCAGGCCTTTCTCACCCTAACCAAAGTGTATGTATGATCTTCCTCTTTCTATCAATCCATTTCTTCATACATGGAGATATTTCGACACGTCCCTGATAAAGATATACAGATTCACCAGAATCCGTGTTCTCACCTCTACCAAGAATTCATGCCCTTTTCGTTTTGTGTTCTTCCTTCTTACCAGTTTGTGCTCCATCAGTTAAGTTTATAATGGAATGTTACTGAGATTTATATCTTCCTCGGACTGCATTTGTGTGCAGTGTCATGTCAAGCCTCTTTCTTCTCTGAAGCAGCTTTTCTCTTAGGGTTTGTCTCCGGGTTAAAGATTTGTACGTTGGAGAAAGGCAATGGCCGTGATCGAAACATCATTCATCTCTTGTGGAAAGCAGTGGCATCATCCTTCCCCATCATCATCTGTTCTCTGCCTTTCAAGACAAGCACGTAAATGGTGAACTTCAGTTCCTCTGTGTTTGTCTGAACAGACTCTTGAGACCCTTTAGAAAATCAGACACTTATTCTAGCTGATAGCGTTTAAGCCGATTCTTTTTTCATTTGCGTCGGATTTCTTGTTCTGAAATCGTATATCGTTACGTGTATTCTGTTTCTTCGCATCCCCCGGTTTGAGAAAACAAGAAACTGTTTACTGCCCTTTTCGTCGGAAATCAAATCTATGAAGTTCATGTTCGTCAACATCTTCGTGAGTTAAGTGTGCTACCACAGCCATCTTTAACTACACTCATCCGTGTCATTTCAAGATCAGGCAAGAACGATACCGTCTCCATGACTGTCTATCAGAGATATTCAAGAAACCAGAAGCAAACAAGGAGAGTTCTTCATCTCGAGTCTCGGGAAAATGCTGTTTGGATGGCGAGAAAGTGAGAAAATAAGAGAGAAACAGGGCAGAGAGAGCAGGAAAACGTTTATACATGTTGGTTTTCTGTTATTTACGGCTGAGGCTAAGCCTCTATCTTATCCAGAGGCTTCAACAAGAAAAAAAAAAGAAAAAAAAGGGGGAAAATAAAGGGGATAAGATAACAACCAATGAAAATCAAAGAGACCAAACACACAATCTCTCTGACAACCACAAGTGAAGTCTATCGTCACAAGCTTAGATCCTCTGTCGTGCCAGCTCAGCATCTACAAAATCTCAAGGCTCTCACCTCTGTTTATTATCTTCTTCATCTACTTCTTCTCCTCCTCTCTTCTTCACTTCTCATTTTCGATTATTTTAATAAAAAAAAATAAACAAAAAATGGCAGCAAGTGCATCTCCAATGGCGAGTCAACTCAGGAGCAGCTTCTCCTCAGCCTTTACGGCGAGACGGCTCGCCGTCCCCAAGGGAATCTCCGGCTCTCCTTTCGGCGTTTCTCCGGCCAAAAGATCCTCTTCCTTCACCGTCAAAGCCGTTCAATCCGACAAGGTTCATCATCTTCATCATCACTGTCATGACCATGTTATTCTCTTTTGTCATTCCAAATATATACAAGTAGATCTATATAACCACAACTTTGTATAATGGCGATGACCCATTTCTTGTAGCCGACATTCCAAGTGATCCAACCGATCAACGGCGACCCATTCATCGGAAGCCTGGAAACTCCGGTGACATCGAGCCCTCTGATCGCATGGTACCTCTCCAACCTGCCGGCCTACCGAACCGCCGTCAACCCTCTCCTCCGCGGCATAGAAGTGGGTCTGGCCCATGGCTTCTTCCTGGTGGGTCCGTTCGTGAAGGCCGGTCCGCTCAGGAACACGCCGTACGCGGGAGGAGCTGGGTCGCTCGCGGCTGCAGGGCTGGTCGTGATCCTGAGCATCTGCCTCACGATCTACGGTATCGCCTCGTTCAAGGAGGGAGAGCCCTCGACGGCGCCGAGCTTGACGCTGACCGGCCGGAAGAAGAACCCCGACCAGCTCCAGACGGCGGAGGGATGGGCTAAGTTCACCGGAGGTTTCTTCTTCGGTGGAATCTCCGGTGTCACTTGGGCTTATTTCCTTTTGTATGTCCTTGACCTTCCTTACTACGTCAAGTAGATGAACCCACCGCCAAAAAAAAAAAAAAAAAAAAAAAAAAAAAAAAAAAAAAAAAAAATCAAAGTGTTCTTCTCTGTAATGTAATGTATCTGCAACTTGTCCGTTTTAGAAACGATATTTCTCCAAGTTTCAAGATTGTTAATATATATATTTCAAATCATATTTTGATCGGAAAAATCCTATAAAAACGTCATATTACTAAAAAAAACGTAATATTACGGATGTTTATTTGATAACGTAAATTTATCGAACTTTTGATTCAACTATATCTCTCTAGAGAAGTGGAGAAATCCAGATAAATATCCTTTCTAACGTTAGGATTTAAACTCGAGATAAGAACATATGTATACTTAATCGAAGTTAAACTTCGGTATCCCAAGATGGTTTTATGGCTATGATTTATGTCCCTGTAAAATTTACAAATAAATATTTATAGAAAAATTATCGAAAATTATCGTAATATAAAATGAAAGGATATTCAGTGTTGTGGTGTTATAATAATGGACAAATAAAATAATCGTTATTTCAATTAGAACTGAAGATTTTGCATCAATGGAGATTCTTAGTATTGGCATATTCAGTGGATGTGTGAACGTTTCATTTGCTCGTTCATTGTTGACGAAATACGAAGCGTGTTCTTGGCAGACAGACGGCACGCATGATGAGCGCGAAACACACGAACAAAGAATGTTTGACGTTCTCAGGATTAAAAAACGGCACGCATGGTAAATCATCAGCGTGCAGAGCTGAACCACAGAAACCAAAAAAAATATCCTATCTGTGCTCTGTAAGCAACGGTTTTAACCACCACTCTTCTTTCTTCTTCCTCTCTCTCTCTCTCTGTGCAGAGAATGGAAATGGGGGTTCAGATTAAGAACCCTAACTTCTTCCACACTCTTCCTCCTCGTCGAGTTCTTCCTCCATCATCAGCTTTCGCGCCTCCTCCTCCTGTCTCTAAATGCTCAATTGGAAAACATCTCAGATTTGTCTGCAAATCAAACAGCCAAGACGTATCTCTCCATCACCTCTCCAACCTTAAATAGTGAACACTAATATATTCAATCTTTTCTTCTTCTTCTTCTTCAGGATTATCTTATTGATGCTCCTGTCTCTGCTGGAGATGGCTTCTCTTTCGGCGGAGGTACAGAAGCATCAAGTTCTATCCACAAGAAAGAAAAATCTTCTCTTTTTCCTTTTCTTTTTCTTTTTCCGGGGCGTGAATATGAAGTTTTTTTCTTCATCAGGGAAGTATTCAGATGAGCCGAGCCCGGCTGACATATGGTTCGAGCAAGGGAAAATGGTGAATCGAAAGGGTTCCTCCATTTGCATTCTTCTGTAAGCAGATCCTTCAAATAGTTCCATGAGCGTGTCATAGTTTTGCAATTTCAGATTAAAGCTCACCGAGTTGGTGGATCCGGTGAAAAAGCCAAAGACCCGATATTCGGGCTAGCCATGGGAGCTGGTGCTCAGGCTTCTGATGATCTTTTCCGGTAACACAGCCTGCAAAAAAAAAATCATAACTTTCGGATCAGATATTACCGCCCCAGTGTCTGTAATAATGCAGTAAATGTTTTAGGCTCTATGGTTTTTCTTGACATAGATGGTTCTGCGTAGAAACCGGGAATCAAGACAGTTTTCCTGTCATACTGATCCATGGCCTCCCATCCCAGGTAAGTCTTTTACATGATTTCCCTTTCCTTCCACGCCTCCTCATTGGATAGATAACGTACAAATGCGAGAACTTCACAACAACTAGGCATTCTCTTACCGGAAAGTTCTTCCAGTACTTTCAAAGAACTACCGTGCCATTGCTTTTGATTGGCTAGGTAGCCGTCTCTTTTCCGAAAGCTTCCATGTTGACCCTATGCCAAACCAGCTTGTTTGTTGACCCATTTTTTTTTACAGGATTTGGGTTTTCGGATAAGCCTCAGCCTGGCTATGGATTTGACTATACTTTGAGCGGTACCATCTTCTAAAACTGCATTATCTCTTGTCTGAGGATCGAAACCAAGAAAGTTTCCAGATTCAGTAGAATAAGTTTACCTTCTTCCATGGCTTGTAGAGTATGTATCATCACTGGAGTCATTCATTGATGAGGTATCCACCGGTAAGGTCTCACTCGTTGTCCAGGTACCAATGCTTCTTCTCTGGTTAAATTAGCTTTGCTGTTTCCAGATCTTCCACAGCAATACATGTTCTTATGTGATCTTCTCAGGGATACTTCTCACCTGTTGTGGTAAAATACGTAAGAAACCGTCAAGAGAAGATCAAGGATCTGATACTAGTGAATCCTCCTGTAAGGACCGACGGAATTCCGCCAAAAAACTAACCACAATCTTTAACATCTGATTGGATATTTTATTCTGAAATCGTCTTGTTGCTGAGCAGTAACCCAGATGTTTTATTTGTGGTTTCAGCTCACAGCCAAACATGCCAATCTTCCATCTACATTGTCTGTATTCAGCAACTTTCTGCTTGGAGAGATTTTCTCGCAGGTAAGGTTTTACCAATGTTTCTTCTTTGTCCCTGAGAATGAATTAGTCATTGTCTAAGTGGATAATTTGGTTTTATGAAACAAATAGGACCCCCTGAGAGCTAGTGACAAACCTTTGACGAGCTGTGGTCCTTACAAGATGAAAGAAGATGACGCAATGGTTTACCGCAGACCTTATCTCATGTCTGGTTCTTCTGGCTTTGCTCTTAACGCCATTAGCAGGGCCATGAAGAGGGAGCTAAAGGTTCGTAAGCACTGCTTTCCCATCCACCAGATCAAACCTGTCAAAACAAAGAGTTTTTCAATCGATTTTGGAAGAAAGATTACATTTTTGTAATAGTATTTCACCTGACAGAGCTATGTGGAAGAGATGAAGACATCACTGATGGACAAAGATTGGAAGATCCCTGTCACCGTTTGCTGGGGACAGCGTGACAGGTGGCTGAGCTATGATGGAGTCGAAGAGTTCTGCAAGAGTTCAGGACACAAACTCGTCCAAGTCCCAATGGTACCGGCTTCTTCTCTTACCTTTATGCCATACCTGCAAATCTGAAACATATCAAAACACCCCTGCAACAATGTAACATGACAGCTAACTGAACTGGTCTTGCCTTAACAGGCTGGCCATCACGTACAAGAGGATTGCGGTGAGGAACTTGGAGGAATCATCTCAAGAGTCATAAGCAAATCTGCTACTATTTAATTTGGCTTGCTCCAAACAGCATATAGAGAAAACAAAAGAAATATGAATGTCATGAATCAATAACTTGTAAAACTCTGAGTTTTCTTTCATTCCATGTACTTCCAATCGTACATATAACTCAGTGAGATCTTCTGAAGCTGTATTCTCAAAGCTCTATAATAGGGAGTTACAATAGGAGAGAATCTCAATTTCCACCAAATATCTGTAAACTCTAAAATGCAGCAGAACAACAAAATGTAGAGCTTGTGAAGGACTTTTTCCGAATCCAGGATGATTCTGCGGTCATTTTGTTGCACGAGAACTTGACGAATGAAAGAAGCGTCGGCTGACACAATAGTGACAAAATTTGCGAAACAATTTGTTGCACAAGATCTTGAGCTGGTAGAAAATAATGGTTTCGAAGGCATATATATTGGTTTCGGTAATGGAAGAAACTTCTACTCTCAAAGAGCTGTTCGAGTGTTCAACTTATTCATAGTTCATCAAAGTTGATCATCAACTCTCTTGTCCTGTCTATCTCTGATGCCTCTGTTTCAGAATCCGCTTCAGCATCAGCAGATTCTAATGCTTTGTCCAAAGCATCTGCCAAATCGGATTCCCAGAAGCCTAATCTGCATGCTCTTTTGAAAGTATCATAACCTGTTGCTCTTAGCCCTTCCGCAACCATCTCCTTTAAGGTATCACTGAGTTGCTCTCCGTTAGTGACTGCGTTCAGAAATGTCTCTGAAAAACCCGGATTCCAGAATACGACAATTGCACAGCTTTTATCTATGAACTTAACATCAAACTCTTCAGCAAAAACAGGGTGTAACTTCTGAAGGACATTCTTCAGCACTGCGGCACTCATCTTTTTCCCTAACCCCCATAAGAACACCAAATTTTCAGACTTTACTCTCCGACTGTTCCTTGACCATATTCTGACATTTTCATCGCTTGGGTTACCACTGCATGGGTCAATGGTATTTGCATACTCATCAGAACCAAAAGCTTGGAAATTGTCACTTGATTGTATGGTAGCTGGTTCTGCTTTCAGTACCATACATAGTTTTGCAAACAACAGAGATATCATCAATGAGTTTTGCCCATGGATCTGATGGTCTTCAGCTAGTTTAACTGGAGAACCTAATAAGATAAGGCAAATAAAAAAGTTGGATGAGCCAATATATATTGACCCGAATATGATGAAAGTCCCGTCTTTAGAAATTCATGAGAAAGCTTACAAGTGTATGAGAAATGCAGACCAAGAAAAGAGAAGCGCTGCATCTGGGAATAAGAATGACATTAAAAAGTAGAGACTGACCTTGATTTGCGACTTCCACATCCACAGGTGCATAGAACCGATTCATGCAGGACATAGCTGCAGATACATTAGTTATATTTCGCAGGGGACTAATTTCTTTCATCAACTGACTGAGATCTACAATGTTGGGAAAAGCTGAGCTCAGTGAACTATTGAACTCGTCCACATTTGAAGGTAGAGGAGCTAGGAACTTGGCATGAATGAAAGTAAAATCTGCAAATGGTTGAATGAATGTTAAGATTATTGCTCAGGAAAAAGAGGAAAGTATTATTTTATGCAAACCAAGAAAATGGAATTTGAGATACACCATTAAGGGAATTCTGGGACACAACAGGTTTCCTTGAAGTAGAAATCAACTCGACCACCTCTCGAAAGCCACGAACTCGCCTATTTTGTTCACTTTCAAGATCACGAAGCTCCTTCTATACAAGACATATGGCCGAAGGAAATTTAAAAGATAAACGAGTGCTTTCATCATTCAGTGTGACACTAGACTTAAAGCTACGAAAGCATATAGTTGATACCCCTTACCTTAAAAAGTTCCTTGTCCTCCTCTGAACTCGTAAGGACAGCACGAACTGCTTGCGTTCCTCTTCCCTTTCCAGGGATTAGTAGAGGGACAATGTCATCAGAGAACTCAGCCAACATCTGTGGAGAAAATTTCGAAGCAAACCCAAGATGGTTACCTAACTCTCATCAAGACCACCAATTCCATCTTGCCACCAAATGTAAATCGGTTGTGCTAGTCTTACCTCTAGGATAAGTTGCACTTGACGCTCACTGCAGACGTCAATGGTCAAACATGGCCTTGAACCATGCTCCTCACCTCCCAAGACCAGTCTCCTTAGAGATTTCACCAAAGGCTCTAGCATTAACAAACAAATAAAGTAAGAGAAAAAAAACTAGAGAATCAAAGGAAAAATAGTGATTCGAAATGGCCAACAGTCCCAAGTGCACCATCTATCTTTGAGCTCGAATCCGTACAAGTCTGTTTCCAACTTGTGACACGTGATCTAACCCTTCCTACGAAAACTGTATCAGCTACAGTGGATGGAGAAAAAGGCTCTGTAACAGGATCTGCTAATACCGGATTCCCCGAGATGAATTTTGAAGCTGACTCTTGTGCTCTGGACAAATATGATATTCCTGTAGAGAGATCAATTAAACAAAAATAAGAAATCATGTCTTATCTAGCAGCTATGTAACAACACCACACCAGATACAGAAGCAAACAAAAAATAATACCAAGAATATCGATCTAGAGAAGCCACATCATGCAAAATCAGTAGTCACAAAGCGGTCTTCTCATGTTCAGGCATTGAACTCAATGCCCTTAACCATTAAGACAACTTCAGTAGGAAAAGAAACATATATTTGTCTCAACGGCTAAGAAAGGAACTCGCTTTGAATACTATTCTTGCTTCAAATTCAATAAATTTAATCAGAAAACCAAACGAATATCAGAAAGGAACGCCGAAACAAGGTGAGGGAGCTCGAAATTCACCTTCGTAAATGCAGGTGTTGAAATCAAACCCTTCTCTCGCCATGGCCGTCAAACGAGAAGCTTGACAAGAGAAGCTGTAAGAGGGCATCCCTAACTTCAATTCGTCCCGAGGAAACAAATGGAAGTTATACCTAAAAAACACAGACGTAAACCCAACCCTTAAAAAAAAGAACTTGGTGTAAAACTCAGATCGCGGAAGTGAGGAATTCAAATGCCGTACGGCTGAACTGTGAGTCTGGAACCGCGAATCGTGAAAGGACAGAGCGCGAACTGGAAAATCTGGTAGCGCTCGGCGGCGTACTTTGCCTTCATGTAAGCTGTCTCGGGCGTGTCCAAGGCGGAGACACGGTGCCATGCGGCGGCGTACGAACCGGTGTTCTGCAGCGAGACGGCGACGAAGTCCGACGAATCGATGCAAGTACGAACTTCATCAATGGTATCTTGGAAGTTAGATTTCTTCACCTGCTTAGCACACCATCTCCGGTGATTTAGGGTTTTGCCTCCGCCGGCGCCGGCGGGGAAGGACGAAAGAAACCGCCTCTGCATTTTACGAAGGCGGAAGGACGACGAAATCAATTCTTCGAGTGTGGGCTCTTGCTTATGTCTGAGGTTGAGGCGCAGTCCAAGCGTTTAATTAGAAAACGGCAGGCCGTTTCGTCGTGTAATGTAACACCGGCACGAATTCTGTTCGCACGAATTTCATGGTTACACTACCAAAAACATAATGCATTAAATTTTTATTAAAAAGACCATACTACCCTTAATAAATCCGTATAATTTGTTTATCTAAAAAAAATCAATCATGAGGGGGTAAAAAATTCATCGGTCAAATTTGAAAAATAACTACGTTGTTTTTGTCACTTTCTATCATGATTATAAATACTTCTTATTTTAGTCTTATACTAGTTATTTTTAATTGCAATAAAGGTCGTAAAAAATATGACAGTAAGGATATGTCGGACTTTTTTCATTGAAAAAGTGGTATAAAAATGTTTAAAAAAATACTTTTTTTAGTAGTGTACCCGTGAAATTCATATGACCTAAGTGGATCATTTTAGTAAAATACCCTAAAGGAGTTGTTTCGGTTGGTTTCTCCAAAATCTAATAATATCGAATTGAAAATTTCGATATTTTTTTAGAATTATAATATTCAAAATTCTCAAACAATATATTTTTTATAGAATCAAAATTTTCAAAACCAAACTGAACCGAATCAAACTATAAAATTTTCGAAAAACCAATTTTTTAAAAAAAAAAATCTAAATTTTTTTTAACAAAAACCGAAACCGAACCGTACCGTACCGAAATCGATTGAACCTAACCGAATAAAATACGGTACTAATTTGATATAAATTTTAAAATACCGAATCAACCATTTCCGAATCAAACTACTAAAATTTCAAACTGAATAACGAAACGTCCACCCTAAGATAATCCTAAGATAACAGTCCGTTTGAATGCATACCAAATATCAATTTGGTTGTCAAGTTTTTTCGGCCAATTTAATAATAATAATAATAATAATAATAATAATAATAATATCAAAAACAAAGATCTTCGGATTTTATAATGTTGTTTAAATTAAAAAGTTATGATAAATTGAGAAGTTATCTATTTTTTTTGGAAGTCTTTAAAGAGAGATATAATGTAATTTTGCGAAGTAGTTATTATCATTCATGTGATTTTTTTTATTAGTATGACATCCACGCTCAATTCAAAATTGCATTCAAATCATTTCCTAAATCAAAATCCAACGTATTTATGACTTTGTTTTGTAAAGTTTTAGGTTGACTAAGATTTATCTTAATCTAATATATTTATATTTATTTCTTTTGGTATTGTTTTTATTCTCCTATAAATAAATTAACTGAACAAATTCATAAGCATTCAATCTAATTTTTTTTTATCTATTTAAGAGGTTTTTTCTTTAATTTCTTTAAAAATTATTTCTGAATTTATACATGATATTAATCTCTGAATTTAAGACATATTTTGTTACAAAAACATAGATCTAGATTTCTTCCACGAATTGATTAAGGAAACATCTATATAGAGCTTAATCTTATCATTTCTTTATATATATATATATATATATATATATATGTGCAGTTTATCATGCAAACACAGACAAAAATCTCCTAACTTCCAAAACACAGGAATTAGTAACGTATTTCGGAAAACGACAGAGAATCCAATTCAATTACTGGCACTCTTGAATTCGTTTTGGAATTTTATTTTCAAGAATATCCATTTCCATCGAATATTCAATATTTTCATCATATTATGAAAAAAAATAATAACTATTATTACAAATTTACATCATTGATTGGAGCTACGATATGAACGAGAGAACTCAGACTTCAAGTAGAACTCGACACAAAAAAAAAGAACTCTGTCGCGAAACAAATCGCAGTCGTACACGTGTCAACAATCTCAGCCGTTGATTTCACATTACCTATCTCTTAACAATCATCCTTTATTTATAAATTCAAATTTAATCACTTTTTTAATTATCACTTCCTCTTTCGTTTCCCACCTCACCCTCTTCGTGTTCTTCTTCTTCTTCCCTCCGTCGCCGGAGTTCACGCCGGCTGTTCCGCTTCCTCCGCTGTAGTCTCCGTCGGAAACTTAGCTCTGAGAATAAATGGCTTTGATAGCGTCTCTGTCTCTGCCACCGCCGACTTTACCCAAACCCGCGCTTTCCAGTTCCCGTCTTGCCGCCAAATCCCGGAGCTTCCATTGTCCGTCTTCGTATCCATCTTCTTCTTCTTCTTCTTTTTCGTCTTCTTCCGTTTCTATCTGCACTTCTCCGTTCAGTAGCTGCTTGGATTTCCGGCGACGGCGGAGAATCAGCGGATCGAAATTCGCGGTGGCGAGCTCGGCGACGCCGTTTATTGGGAGGGTCGGGTTGCATTGGAGAGAAGGCAACGTCTCGTTGCTTTCGTTCGGTGGAGACGCCGGTGCTCCGGCGAGGTCGGATCCGTCTCAGGTTTTGTCCGCGTTGCTTCCTTTCGTCGTCGCCGCCACCGCCATCGCCGCTCTCTCCTACCCTGCTACTTTCACTTGGTTCGTCATCTCTCTCTCTCTAAGTTTGATTCTAACCCTAGAAAAAATTGAATTGTTGATTTAACTGCAGGTGTAAATAAATGCATATACATATACGTCTATATATATGTATATATCTATGTATGCGCATGTCGATTTAACGAGAAAGTTTTGAGCTTTGCTTGGTTTCTCTTCTTTACAGCTTCCTTGCTCTGTTTTCAAGTCAGATACTGTATAAAGCAACGAGATTCATGCGTGATTTCAGATGACATTTTTTTCAGGGTATCTAAAGAATTGTATGCTCCTGCTCTTGGAGGGATTATGTTATCCATCGGAATCCAGCTTTCGATCCACGATTTCGCTCTCGCCTTGAAAAGGTGAACCACCTTTTTTCTTCTCAGATCTTGATCAGCACTGTCGTTTTTTAACCCTTGAATATCTGTTTCATCATCTGCTTCCAGATCGGTTCCTCTCTCTGTCGGGTTTGTTGCTCAATACTTCCTCAAACCGCTTCTCGGGGTTTTAGTTGCAAATGCCTTCGGGATGTCTCGGACATTCTACGCGGGCTTTGTGCTCATGTCTTGTGTCGCGGGAGCTCAGTTGTCTAGCTACGCGAGTTTCCTTGGCAAGGGAGACGTGGCCTTGAGCATTCTTCTCACCAGCTGTTCTACCATTGCCTCTGTCTTGTTCACTCCTCTTCTGAGCGGCCTCTTGATCGGATCTGTCGTTCCCGTCGATGCAATCGCCATGTCCAAATCCATTCTACAGGTATCAATAACATTTAGCAGGGATTCGTTATTCGGTCTGAGATTGAAGTCTGTGTTCGGTCTGAGATTGAAGTCTGTTTTCTTACTGCAGGTTGTGCTTGTTCCAGTCAGTCTTGGCCTCGTGCTAAACACATACGCCAAGCCCGTGGTCGCTTGGCTACGACCTGTGATGCCATTCGTGGCTATGGTATGCACTTCATTGTGCATCGGTAGCCCACTTGCGATAAACCAAAGTCGGATTCTTTCTGCAGAAGGGCTGAGACTGATTCTCCCGGTGTTGGTATTTCACGCTGTGGCATTCGTTTCGGGATACTGGGTCACAAAGATTCCTGCCTTAAGGTAGCATAACATCAGTCTCGTTCTTACACATTCAATAAACACCGATGAATGAAGATCCAAAGGCAGAGCAGGACGACTTCTCATGTAGAAAAATCTGTTTTTTCTAACGTTTTGCTGAATATATTCATGGACAGGCAAGAGGAAGAAGTTAGCCGGACGATATCCCTGTGCACGGGAATGCAGAGCTCGACACTAGCCGGGCTGCTAGCAACTCAGTTCCTCGGGAGCAGCCAAGCCGTCCCTCCGGCTTGCTCTGTGGTCGCCATGGCCATAATGGGTCTATGCCTCGCTTCCTTCTGGGGAAACGGCGTCCGAATCAGAGACCTCCCTTCTCTACTCACACCACATGATCAAAGCAATGGCTCTACGGCCAAGTCATGAACTATATATACCAACATCCAAGAGCCAGAGTATTCAGAGTCTCTTGCTGTTCCCGATCCGAAAATTTTGAAACCGAGAGGAGCTAAGCCCGAGCCATCGTCGGGAAAGCTGATATGTCCAGAGGGAGGCATTGAAGAAGCAAGAAGAGATTAGAGAAAATGGTACAGAAATAACATATAGACATGGTCTGCTCTCCAAGGACATTGTACATTATGCCATCGTTATATACAAAGCACTGCAAGAGGGAGAGATTGCACAAAAACCCAATTTGTATCTCATTGCCATCAATTCATATGGCAATAAAAGTTTCAACCTTTTTTTCCAAGTGGGAACCAAACTTTCATTATTACCATAAAAACTAGGATATGGGACCGAAAGAAAAGCGGTTTCTTTTAGCAACCCACTAAAGTGACACCTAAGAAGAGCTGGCAGTTTACGTTTGTGTACTTTTAAATGCTAAGAAATGAATGAAAAAGGATACTTTGAAAATCCAATCCAGTCTTTGAGCACTCTAATCCCAAGAGGTTATTAGGTTACCTTTTCCGAGCTTAAATTACAGCAATCATAGGTTGTAAGAAGAAAAATCCCAACCAAATTACCAAAACATCTATCGAACCTCTATCTCTCAGACCCATAACAGATTGGTATCAGAGCCTGTCATTATGGGCGATTCTATCCAAAACCAACTCAATAAACTTTTTCACTTAATCGTCTCTGAGCAGAAGAAGGCAAACCAATCGCTAAATGAGAAAGTCGATCAACTACATGCCAAATTGGAGGCAATGTCTCTTGAATTGGAATCTGCCAAGAAAGGAATTTCTTCTTCATCACCGGAAAGCCATCAAAGAACAAACAAGGATAAAGGAATTGTTGGTGCGTCACGGTCTGAGAAGTCCGGAGGAAATTTGGTTGTACCAAAATTTACCAAACTGGATTTCCCTCGCTTCAATGGGCTAGAAGACCCTTTGCCGTGGTTAAACCGTTGTGAGCATTTTTTCAGACATCAATCAATGGCAGACGAAGAAAAGGTGAGCTTAGCTTCTTATCATTTAGAAGGAATAGCTCAACTATGGTACATGCAGATGTTGGATGATGTATCAGATACGACTTGGAAGAATTTTCGCATCAATGCAATCTTCGGTTTGGTCCCCCTATCCGCAGCAACAAACTAGGGGAATTGGCGAAACTCAGGCAACTGAGTTCCGTAGAAGATAAACAAAACAAGTTTGAAGTTTTGGTATCTTGGCCTGGCAACCCAATTTCAGAAGGTACAACTTTATACCAGTGGCTACATGAAGCAATAACAGTTGAAGTGGAGCTTCATCAACCCCGGGATTTGGTTACTGCAATGAGTATGTCGAGGCTTTATGAGCGTAAGTTGTTTTCACAACCTGCAAGTTTCGACGATACCCGAAAACCTACTACGGTTATGGAGATTCGCCAAAACCGTTCGATTAAAAAACTGAGTAGAGAGAAGATGGAAGAACGGAGAAAAAATGGTCTTTGCTTTAATTGTGATCAAGTTTTTGTTCGCAGACGTCAATGCAAAAAGCTTTTCTGGATCGATATCGCAGATGAGATCCAACTTCAGCTAAGAATGAGGATGTACCATATCCAGATTTTTCATTGAATGCTATTACCGAAATCCGAACCCTCAATGATGCGTCATGGACAGATGCTTCGCACTTTTGTACCAAGTATCCGGAGCCCGCTTGAGGACAAGCGTATTTTGTTAATGTTAGCAACCCACTAAAGTGACACCTAAGAAATGAGGTGGCAAGAAGTTTCTTTTATGTTTTTCTTTCCACTTCGTATTCTGTTCCTTTGTAGTCGGAGGACTTGGATAGTTTATTTCCTTAAATCCAATTCAGTCTTTGAGCACTCTAGTCTCTAGTCTCAAGAGGTTATTAGGTTTCCTCTTCTGAGCCTAAATTACAGCAATCATAGGTCGTAAGAAGAAAAATCCCGACCAAATCCATCCAAACACCTATCGAATCTCTATCCCTCAGACCCATAAGATCCATAACCCGGGACCGTAACAGTTTCCATGACCATTTCATATGATGCAGATTACATATCTTCAATTCCAAGAGGTTTTTTCAGTTCTTTCTGTAACCATTACCCAATTTATGACCTACCAGAAACCATAGCCCACTGAATTTATAAAACCATAATGAATTCACAGCCATTTCCAAGTTCTAATTGTATAAATCAGAACCAAATTCATGCAGGGCCAAATGGCCAATGCCATATGCATTTCAGCTATCATCTCATCTGCAAAAAAGCAATCTTTAACAATCGAAAATTTCCAGTTTTGATACATAATTACTCTATGGCACAGAAGCAAAGTATAACAAAAGATCAAAACCTGGTATGATCTATAAGCTTACATTGCTCAAACCCAGAAGAATCAATCTTTAATACCCTCTGCTGTTGTTGAGAATCGAACCTAGAGTTCCCAAAACAGCGAAAGCGATCAAAGGGCTCACGTCGAGGGTGTCGAAAACAGGAGGGATTATGTTCCTGAAGAGATTCAGGTAAGGGTCACAAAGGTCTCTAATGGCGGACAATGGCTGACGATCCCATGGAATGTTAGGGAACCAACTGAGCAGAACCCTAACCATCAAAACGCCGCTGTATATGTCGAGCCACTTCGACAGCCCGGCTGCGACCACCGTGAGCGGCGTGTTTAGGTAGCCGCTCGGCCGGCG